TCGCGATGTAAAAATGAAATATTATCCGAGTGGATATATACATAAACCTGAGCACTATCTTACTTGGTGCTGGAAAAAATGGTTGGCACTGCTGTAAATGATGTATTTTTTTTTTTAAAGCTGACGATTGAGACTGGAGGCTCTAGGTCAAATTTTATTTGGTTTCATATAGACTTTATGTATGAGCGAAAAGTATACAACAGAATCTACCATACTTTATGTTTGGGTTGGCCCCATGCAGTAGGATTCTTCCACCTATCAATCCTTTTTGTTTTATTTCGTGGAAAAAAAAATTCAAATTTTCAGATACCTCCAACAAGGCCGGGGGGGGGGGGGGGGGGGGGGGGGGGGTGTCACATTCTCATATAGCTCTGACCCTCTCAGTCCTATACGCTTTAGCGTATCATTTGTCATATCAGTTGATCTTTGTTTTTTAAGAAAAGAGACTCCAGATTCTTATGTTTTATTTCGGGGAAAACGGAAGTGGTAAATACAAATTCTCCGCTAACTCTTACATAGATGTGATTTTATATGAGTAAAATTTGACCCTCAAAAGTCATAAGTCTTATAAGCACAATATTATGTTGTATATATTAAGGGGGTCTCATTGGAGGGTTCTGATCCCGGATCCCGCTTACTGTTTTGTCAGATTCCCGTATCCCGCTTACACTATGTACGTAAGCAGTTCTCTTTTTTTTGTAATTTCCCGTGTCCCGCTAGACTTCATTTCCCGTTTTCACGGCACAATAATTTGACTTTCACGTGTCACGCTTACAAAAAATCGGCAATCCCGCGTCACGCTTAGACCCCAATAAGACCCACTATTAACACACAACATAGATAAATATTTTCTTAAATATTGTTCATAAAAAAAAGTCTGGTTTTTAATCATAAAAAAAGATCCAAACAAAACATGTAAAATATACGGCAAAACTGTATTCAAGTGTAATATATAGCGATGTGTAATTCTTTTGCTTTATGAATTTATGGAAAACTTTCTTTGTATATCATTTTGCCTCCGAACTTGCAAATGAAGAAGGAAATATCCTGGGGATGTGTCCCTCATTCTTTTCCATAGAATTGCAGTTTCAATTCACATAATTCTGTAATGTTTTACGCATCATTATTGTCTTTCAATTGAACATAAAACGATCTAATATTTGTACTTTATTCGGAGTCAACACCAAAAATCTTCAATTCTGCACAAGCATATGTCATCCTATCATTGTTTTATTTTGACATTACGTTCTGTTTTTTATAACTTAACATTTTACTGTTTCAAGTCAAGACCAAACTATTTCAAATTTACATCGTGTAGTTTCAAGTCAACTCATTGTATGATAAGCCTCTCGTAACGTCATAATGATATAACATCGTGCTATCTTAGCTCAACAACACGTACTTTCAACTGTACGTCGTGTAGTTTTGAATGAGCATATTGTATGGCAAGCCTATCGTGATATTATTATGATATAACGTCGTGCTATCATAGCTCAACATCACATACTTTCAACTGTACGTTGTGAAGTTTTAAATGAGCATATTGTATGGTAAGCCTATCGTGACATTCAAATGATATAACAAAATGCTATCTAATATTAACATCACCTAGTTTCAACTGAAAGTCATGTAGTTTTAAATGTGCATATCGTGTGGTAAGCCTATCGTGACATTCTAATGATATAACAACGTGCTATCTTAGCTTAACATCACGTACTTTCAGCTGTACGTGGTGTAATTTTAAATGAGCAAATTGTATAACAAGCCTATCGTGACAATATAATGATATAACATCGTGCTGTCTTAGCTGAACAACACGTACTTTCAACTGTACGTCGTGTAGTTTAAAATGAGCATATTGTATGGCAAGCCTATCGTGATATTATTATGATATAAGATATTGCTATCATAGCTCAACATCACGCACTTTCAACTGTACGTCGTGTAGTTTTAAACGAGCATATCGTGTGGTAAGCCTGTCGTGACATTCTAATGATTTAACAACGTGCCATCTTAGCTTAACATCACGTACTTTCAACTGTACGTTATGTAGTTTTAAATGAGCAAATTGTATAATAAGCCTATTGTGACATTATAATGATATAACATCGTGCTATCGTAGCTAAACATTACAAAATTTCAACTGTACGTCGTGTAGTTTCAAGGGAGCATCTTAGCTTTACACGTTGCATCGTGTTGTTTTAAGTCAACAAATTGCATGGTAAGCCTTTCGTTTCAATATAGTGGTGTAGCATCGTGTTATCTTAACTTAACATCATGTACTTTCAACTGTACATCATGGTGTTTTAAATCAACAGATTGCATGATAGACCAATCGTAATATCACAATGATATAACATCGTACTATCTCAGCTCAACATTTATTAATAACAAGTCAGCACCATACATTTTAGCTATTCATTTTATTTGTTATCATAGCTATCGAAGTGGATGACTGAGCAGTATACATCTGCAAGCTAACATCATGCAGCGTCAACTTTACATCATGTACTTTAAACCCAACGTTACGTGTGTTTGGCATATCATCACAACAGCGTGACTTATCATTATAATATCACGACTAAAGCACTTGTCATTGCAAGTCAACATTGAGCAAATTCAACTTAGCATATTGTAATTTAGAGTTAGCATTTTGATGACTCAATTCAACATCACGCTGCCTTAACTTTACATTTTAAGCTACAGCATAACGTTAAATGTAAATCTCTAATATATGACAGCTGAGGCTTTCCATAAAACAGTTAAAATGAAGTTGTAGTAAGCAATTATAGGCCACCGTACGGCCTTCTACAGAGTTAAAATGAAGTGGTAGTAAGCAACTATAGGCCATCGTACGGCCTTCAAAAATGAGAAAAACTTATCCTGTATAGTCAGCCATAAAAAAGCCAACATGAAAAATGTTAAACAATTCAAACGAGAAAACTAACGGCCTAATTCATAACAAAACAATTTACGAAAAACAAATACATGTATGACAGACAATGAACCAACGACAACCACTGTACTATAGGCTCCTGACTTAGGACAGCCATATAGGAAAGTAACAGGGTTAAACATGTGTGTGAGCGCTCAACCCTCCCTTAACCTGGGACAGCGGTGTTACAGCACAACATAAAAAAACTTGTAAAATTCAGTTGCAATTTGCAACTCAAAAAGATCGGTAAGAGGCACTAAAACAAGACACAAAGCACCGAAAAAAAGAGTACTCGTAGTTACTGAAAGCTAGTTCAATGCCAATTACAAATAAAAAATAAATCATGTTTTCCCAGACTAAAGTATCATCTAGTACACATCCAATGGATTTCGTGTAAAGATGTCATAAACAGTCTGGGAATCACATGACCTTGTGCAATGCCAAAATATAAGTAAACAGTATCTACAGGATGTAGAATCATAAGTCATCATAACTGTACATATATTATAGCAACATATAGTCAGTTATGTTTTAATTTTTCCAAAACAAAACAAAAATAATGTTAATAGTCCTATAAAACAATAGTTAAAGATTTAACTACTGTGTTAAATTGATAACCTGGTTTTAAGAAATAGTTTATTCAAAGGATTAATTAGTTTACATTGAATGTGTCTAAATTTACGGGCTTTATATACAACACCACCGTAAAAATTAGGATGGGATTTCCCGTTTGTAATAAGAATTCTTGCAGCCAAACTTTCTAACCAAATCTTTATTTGATATGAAAGAATTTGGTAAAGGTTGTAATTAATTTGTGGTAACGAAATCCCTGCGTTTTAATTTACCAGTTATACATAAATTATGTCCGTTAAAATCTAAATTCAACTACAGACACGGGCATACGGAGCAAGTTTTGAAATATATATTATCACACCATCAGAAGGGGCTCAAGGAATATGCCTGCTATGGTCTCATTAACATTTACCACACCTTCATTCAGTTACAGAACATTGTTCATATATATCCTAAACGTTTATTAAAGATGTTGGAAATTAGCTATAGATAAAAACACATTCTTTGAAGAAGATGTTGAAACTAAATAATTGAGTCTCAACAATTGAGCCGAGTGGAGCGAGGCGGAAAAAAATTATGTCTTTTAATTGTGCCAAAAAATTAATTTTTGTTTTGTATGGAGAAGAGATGGGTGTGGGTCGTCAAAATTTTCCCCTATCTAAAGTATTTAAAAATTGGACATCCCCCCTTTCCATGCGCAAAAATGTTCAAGCCCCCCCTTATTTTCCTCCCACCCCGCTTCAGGTAAAAAATGACCAGTCCCTTACTAAAGAAAATCAATATCTGATTACCAAAGCAAATATTTAATGATTATGTGATTATATTGGCAAAAAATTTGTGATTATGTGATTACTGGGACCCCTCCCCAATATTCAATTCCTACATGCCGTTCAAATAATGATATTGTGAGTTACATATAGTTAGGTATTCAATTAATAATTTTTATAAGGATTAACCAACCTTAATTCAGTAAGGTTGGTGTACTCCAACTATTGGAGGAAGATATAGAGGAAAGAAGAAGAAGCTACCTTTTCTTTTCTTCGTATAAGCTTCCTCTGTTAGGAACACCCCTCTTTTGAGGGTAGTATGGATAAAAAGTCTTTTAACTATGTACACACTCCGTGAATATATATACACTTACTAAAATCTAAAATAGACTAAGTTTCTAAGTTGAGTGATAATTGTCAACAGCCATTACACACTTATCAGTTTTAGTCTCGAGTTTATATGCATCTTGTAGCACATATCTCTTGTGAGCATTTCTAGTTCTTCTATTTTGAGCTTGCTTTCACTAAATATATATGTGAAGTTTGTACAGTCAATTATAAGGACTGTAATTTTATGTCTATCAATGAATGTCTCTTTCCACTTCATTTCTCCAATGAATTTGGTTACATAAGTTTTTATTGGGTTGAAAGTTTCTTTTCTTGTCTACCTGTTCAAAATTTTTACATAACTGCTTCCAAAACGTATTGTTATTTACTATCTAACACTACTGGTTCCATGAGATGTGAGCTTTTTGTTTGTCTCCTATAGGCTACGAGTAATGTTATGATTTAAAACCAGTAGAGCAGACGGAAAACAACTCAAAACTTTGAACATTACGAACTATATACAAGAGGTAATTGACCGTATTCATTAGTATTGCAGTATACGACTAAAGTACACAGTATACTCTAAAATCAGGATGGAGGGGTTGTGGTGTTGTACAGAAGCTGTAAGTGCAAAGGCTACGATAGAGCAAGGGTCAACAATTAGGACAATTACACACCTCCAATAATTTACTTAGCTATTTCTGCATGATTACAACAGTTACATTTTACGATTTTATTCGTTTATCCACATTAGGCACTTCATATGCAAGGTACACTATGTTTTGTACTGAGTACTAGTATTTAAACAAATTCCATAACATAATTATTTCACAGTTAAATTCATTCACAACCTGTCTGATACATGGTACAGAAACTTGTTATTGAGCAGAGGCTAATTTAAGGGGGGCAGTTCTGAGGGACCTACTTTTTGTGTACAAGGCTATCAAACTTCCAAAGATGCTGCAGCATCTTCACACCAAATTACTGTTATACGATAGAAGGTTATTGTGTCTGTGAACTAAATCACAGTGGGCATAAAACTAAATATGTAAAATGCAGGTCAGAGCTTTGGCTACCTCTTTTTTATTTGAAAACTGCTGTACTTTCCTTGATGCATCCTTACAACTTGAACTATTTATATGATTGCCATAACTAGATTTTGAGAAGTAAATTTGATCATTCAACTTAATAAAAGTTGAACTAAAAACTTTTGCCCAATTTTGTTGGTTTATTATGCCTGTTATGATATCCATGGAGTTTGTTGAAATTTGTTACTTTCCTTCATGTTCTTTGCATTGAGGACATATCTAACTGAATTTTAACAAATATAAGGGACACTATGTTTACTTAAAAGCCATTTATTTGTAGGGGGTATTTGGAATATTCTAATTTTTGGTATTATTGTGTCCAAATTTTTTTCATTAGTTATAATCATGATAATATAGGTAATTTTTTAATTAATACTACTGTCTGCCCTGACAATCTGTCTTAAATACAAGAATAATATTATTTCCTGCAAAAAGTCAGGAGCCTGTAATTGAGTTGTTGTCCTTTTTTGTTTTTGCTGTTTCTCATATTTGGGCCAGATGCCCAGGTCCTGGTGGTATTGCTCTGTATGTCAGAAGTTCTATATATAAAGGTATATCCAAACTATCTCATACTCATAATAATGCTGTATGGGTTAAACTAGATAAACATTTTTCTAATCTTAAGAATGACATTTTTATTGCTATAGTATATTTTTCACCTGAAAATTCATCTGGTTGTACAGAAGATATTAATGAAGTTTATTCAAAGTTGCTTAGGAATATTGAGCACTATAGTCGACTCGGGGATATTGTAATTCATGGTGATTTTAATGCCTATACTAATACTGTTCCTGGCTTTGTAATTTCTGATGAAGCAAAATTCCCAATATCAGATGACAATGAATATTCAATTGACTCTCATAATTTAAGAAATAATCTTGATTCGAAATCTACAAACAAAAGTGGAAAATTAGTAATTGATTTATGTAAAGAATCAGGACTCAGAATACTGAACAGAAGAACTATTGGAGACCCTATGGGTAGATGTACATGTATAACATATAATGGTTCCAGTCTTGTAGACTATACACTTGTGTCTTCTAATTTACTAGAATGCATTGGAAACTTTAAAGTTAATGATTTTACTCCAATTTCAGATCATTGTCCCATCAGTTGCTCTTTACTTACTTGCTTTCAGAAATGTAAAAATAAAGGGTCAAAGTTAGATCCTCTCCCCAGTAAATTTATTTGGGATAACAAAGCAATTGGTTGCTATACTACAAACATTCAAAGCTCACATGTGAAACAAAGGCTAGATGATTTTGTAAGTGATGGGCAGACTGACTCTGATATAGCTGTGGAAAAATTTAAAGCCATATTATGTGATACAGCTCTTTCATCCACTAAACTTGTTCAAAAGAGAATCGTGAAAAGGCTTATCAAGCAAAATAAAAAAAAACATGGTTCTCGGACTCTTGTCATGACCTATATACTATAGTTGAAAAGTACTGTTTTCTTGTAAATAATTTCCAGACAGTGGATCCTATAGAAAATCATTTTACTCATTTAAATCTAAATTAAGAAGAAGGTGCAAACAGGAAGAAAGGAGTTACAAAAGACAAATCTGTGACCAAATTTCACTAAATATCCAAAAAGACCCAAACAAATTAACAGCTCTTCTAATATCCCAAACAATAAATTCCATGATAAAATTATTGAAAAGATAAATGTCTTAAAAAAGACAATAAATACATGCAACTCCGACATTTCAACCTTCAACATTTCAATTAGGTTACTTAGTAACATCCGCAAGCAGACATCTCACTAAGGACTATTTACACACTTGCATAGCAGAGCCTCTAATGTTTTAATAGAATAAACGTATATACACTGTACAATTTTGTGGAAGTTTAGTATACTCCTCGGACAGCCACCTTAAATGCGTCCAATTCTGGGACGGCTATCACAGGCGGTGGAAGTTGGTTCCATAGTATGATTGTTCGTGGAAAGAATGAGTATTTGTACACATTGACATTTGTCCGAATTGTCTGAAGTTTACATGCATGACTGTGGCGAGTTGATTTTATTTCTGCCATTGTAGGGTGATGTTGTATAGGCACGGCAATAAGGTGGTGGACTACCTTATACAAGAGGATTACGTCAGATGTTTTTCGCCTCTGGTCTAATGTTTCCCAATTTAAATTTTTTACCATTTATGTTGTGCTGTCTGGTTTTTTGTAATCATGTGGTTTATTGAGGACAAATCTTGCTGCGTTCTTTTGTACTGATTCTAATTTATTTATGTTGTTGTTTGTGTGAGGATTCCAAATTGTTGAGCAATATTCTAATTTTGGTCTCACAAGGCTGGTATATGCTCTTTCCTTTACACTAGGTAGACAGTGTTTGAGGTTGCGCTAAAGGAAGCCTAGGACTCTTGATGCTTTCTTGCAAGTTTGGTCAATGTGCAGATTATACTTCAGGTTGTTGTAAAAGGGGATGTTACCTTGTTACCTTGGAATAACAATAAATTATTCAGGCAATTTAAGTCCTTCCAAAAAAATTCGTATGGAAAAAGGAGGAAAGGCTTGGTTTAAAATTTAAAAAAACAGTACTTTTAGATAATTCTTGCAGTATGCTTGAAAAATTATTTGATACTTTAGTTGTCCCAATCACTCTTTATGGAAGTGAAGTATGGGGTGTAAGCAAAGTGTTCAAAGATTCAGATCCATTTGAACATTTACATATAAAATTTATTAAGGACATTTTAGGGGTACAGTGCAAAACAACAAATGTAGCTTGTCTAGCTGAGACAAACAGAACTCCTTTGCACTTAAAAATTCAGCTTTCAGCTATAAAATTTCTAAACCACATTGTAGTATCACCTAATTCATTAGTCTATAAAATATATAATAATGTAGAGAAAACAAGTAAATGGGTTAACATTGTAAAAGACTGGTTAAATAAATTAGGATTTGGCCATCTTACTTTTGACCCCATTGATATAAAATATTATATAAATACTATACAACAAAGAATTGTTGACCACTGGCTTATCAAATTATGAACTGTTCTATCCTTAAATGTGAAAAACTAAATTTCTTTTGTAAGACTCAAAAAATTGGAAAAAGGCCCCCGTATATCAATATATGTAAATTAAAAACTGACAGATCTGTTTTCAGTAAATTTAAACTCAGTGCCCATTCCCTAGCAATTGAAAGGGCGCGTTATACCAATATTGAAAGAAAACAACGCATTTGCCTATCCTGTAATAGGCAAGAAATTGAGGATGAATACCATTTCCTCTCAGTCTGTACATGCTATATATCATTGAGGGAAACCTATATCATAAAAATTAATACTAATCTTAATTTCAATTTTATTAAATTGCAATCAGCTATAACACTGAGGCATATGACCACACTTTTGAATAGCAGTTTGCCAGTCATTATAAAAATCACCACTAAATATATTAATGATGGTCTTTTATTGAGAACATTTGTATAATTTTTATTTTTTGATATGTATCCTTTTTTGTTCATGGACATTAATAATTGTTTTACTGTCAATACACACATATTTTTAGTCTTCTTTTCATGTGAATACTGGGCCACTGTCACTCTAATTTAATTATTGTCAGTTTATGGTTTCAATTGTTCTATACTGTATGCCAAAACCATTTAATGTAAATGTGTTTGTGCAAATAAATGCTGTCTATTGTCTATTGTCTATTTGTTTTTCGTTTACTATTTTGCATACATGTAGTTTGTTCTTGTGTTGTGCCGTTACACAAGTGTCCCAGGTTAGGGAGAAGTTGGCGCCTTCAAACATGTTTAACCATATCACATTTTTTATGTGCCTATCCCAAGTCAGATGCCTGTATTTCAGTGGTTGTGGTTTGTTCGTCTGTCATATTTATTTTTCGTAAATTGTTTTGTTATAAATTAGGTCGCTAGTTTTTGTCTCGTCTGCGACGGAAAGGGAGACGTAGGGACTGCTTTTTCGGCGACAATGACGACGGCATCAACAGTTGTTAAGTTTTCTGCTTAAGTTAGTTTGATAGGAACTGCTTGTGATTGTTGCATTACTATCAGTACATATCAGTTTGACGACTATTATGAGGCCCTGCCCCCTAGGTCATGGTCCAGTGACTTTGAATTAATTAGCAATTTTCAATGTTAAGTTTTCTGCTTAATTAGGATCTACTTGTGATAGATCAATGATATTTTGTATGAAGTTGCATAACTAATAGTTCATATCAGTTTGGCAACTATAATGAGGCCCTGCCCCCTAGCTCATGTTCCAGCCACTTTCAATTACGAAGCAATTTTTAATATTAAGTTTTCTGCTTGACAGGAACTTTTTGTGATAGATCAATGATATTTTGTATAAAGTTGCTATCAGTACATATCATTTTGATGACTATTTTGAGGCCCTGCCCCCAAGGACATGGTCCAGTGACTATGAATTAATTAGCAATTAACAATGTTAAGTTTTCTGCCTAAGTTAGATTGATAGGAACTACTTACAAAAGACAACAATATTTTCTATAAAGTTACATCACTGTCTGTACATCTCAGTTTGTCGACCATTTTTTTTGGCCATGCCCACTAGATCTTGGTCCAGTGACTGAATTAATAAGCAATGTTGTTGTCCATCAGATTGTCTTTTTCTGAATTTTATGCCGAAAGGCGAGACATATCTCTGTGTCAACAGTTTATCTCAACTGAATTGTTTCATATTTTTCATGTCAGTGCCTTTTATAGACGACTATACAGTGTGGGTTTTTCTCATTGTTGAAGGTTGTACGGTTGCCTATGATTGCTTACATCCATTTCATTTGAACTTTGGTGGATTGTTGTCTCATTGACAATCATACCACATCTCCTTATTTTATTATTAATACAAGATAAAACACAGGATACCAAGACACTACAATACAACAATATGTGTATATTCCAATTCATGTCCTACGGGTAGATACAAGTATACTAATACTGTGATTTGTTCATGTAATTGTTTTCCACTGTCAACTTTTCTTTGTAGATGGATAGACTCATTAGACCATTTTGGAAACCAGATGAGGATCGGAACAGGAGTGCTAAAATTCTGTGTGGTGTGGTTGCTGCAGTTTACATATCCAACCAAGTAGTCAGGAAAATCATAAATATAGTTCAAAAGCAACAGCTAAAGAAGAAAATTAAAGAGAAAAGGGAAGAAAGTAAACTGTCTAAAGCCAAACTTGAAGAGCATTTAAAAGGGAAAGAGGTATTATATGATTAAAGCATGAAACTGGTAACCATGGTAATTGGTATGTGATAAGTTAAACACATAAAAAGGATAACTGCAATAATGAAAAAAACATTGAACAACAGATCACACTAACCACAAACATGTGGTTATCATATGTTAGAAAAATCGGTATGCAGGTGAATCTAATTATCCCTTAAATTCATGAAGACCTTTTTGTTTGCTTCAATTTTGCTGTATTTTCAAATTTAAAGGATAATTTGTTTACATGTAACTCTTATGGCACAAAAACTCTAATTTGAAACATCTGTGTTGTAAAGTGAGTAAATCTGTGTTTGCAAAGTGAGTACATTGATTTACAATGCAATCAGTTGTCAAATATCCCATGCAATATAACTACATATCAGTGATGTAAAATATATGAGTATCTCCTAGCTGTAACCATGTAGATCATCAAAAAATCACACAATTCTGTAATTATACACCAACTTAGTAGAAGGGGGTAAACTGGTTTGTGTCTGTCCCTCCCATCAGATTTTATCAGGAACTACAAATCAGAGCTTTCTGAAGTTGATATGAAGCTTCTTGTGAACTTGCTTTACAATATTCACATTCATTGCTCATCAACTTCCAGTTTACAAAATGCTTATAAAAATGTATATATTCTTACACATAATGGCCATGTATGATTTTTTTTTGTATTTTTCTCAGAAACTACAGTTCACAACTTCTTGAAATTCAGTATCAAGCTTCATGTAAGCATGCTTCACTGCATGGTATGTTTTCACATCCACAATGTCCTGTTTAATATAAACTTATAGCTGGGGCATCATTAGTGAGCAATAGCTCACAGTACAACTGCTTTTTAATGTTGTAAGTAAAGATTTGATTATAAAATATAAAGTTTATCCACAGATAAGTACCAAAACAGTAGAAAGAATACTGAGCCTTTCATTTAAAGAACTCCAAGCTGAACTACAATCAGGGAAACTGTCTGCAGTCGATGTGTTAAACGTCTATCAAATCAAAGTAAGCGTTACGCTGAGAAATTGCAAACAATGTTTTTATTAAATACTGTGTTCAAAATTCTGGTGGGTAAGTTATTAAGTAATTTTAAGTTAGGTCAATGTATATAGATTTGATTTCATAGAAAGACCAAATATGTGAGTGAGCTAAATTTTTATTTCTTTCCATGAAAATACTTCTGAAATGAGTTTGATTGAAGATATCTGTAGATTGTCAAACCTTCTTTTAATTTAGTCCTCAAAAAGAAAAATGAAAATGCCTTCAGACAACAGAGCAATATTGGACTGTGTTAACATTTGCTATGTAGTTAAATATAAAAGTAAGAAGATGTGGTATGATTGCCAGTGAGACAATTCTCCACTAGAGACCAAATGACTTATAAGTTTACAACTATAGGTCACCGTACGACCTTCAACCATGAGCAAAACCCATACCACACAGTCAGCTATAAAAGGCCCAGAAATGACAAATGTAAATAAATTTAAACAAGAAAACTAATGGCCTGATTTATGTACAAAACAATGAAGGAAAAACAAATACAGCAACAATCCCACAACCACTGAATTACAGACTCCTGACTTGAGACAGGCACTTACAGAATGTGGTGGGGTTAAACTAGTTTGTTGGCGCCAAGATTGTGCATGCCAAGATACAGGTATTGACAGATTGTAGAGCCACGAATCTGCATATGTATAAAAATAATATTTAGTTTGATTTTAAAGTAATGATAACAAAATCAATATTTATACCAATAAAAACAATATTCAAAGATCTAATTACAGTGTTGAATTGGTAACCTTTAGAATAGTATTATAGAATATGTTTATATTTATAATATTCTTATTTAGGCATTGGAAGTTGATAAAAGGACTAACTGTATAACAGAAATAGTATGGGAGGCAGAGGTGAGTGTTGAACCTACATCTGAGGTGTATAGTACATATTAGAACCTACATCTGAGGTGTATAGTCATGTTAGAACCTACATCTGAGGAGTATAGTACATGTTAGAACCTACATCTGAGGTGTATAGTACATGTTAGATATCTGAGGTGTATAGTACATGTTAGACCTACATCTGAGGAGTATAGTACATGTTAGAACCTACATCTGAGGTGTATAGTACATGTTAGATATCTGAGGTGTATAGTACATGTTAGAACCTTCATCTGAGGTGTATAGTACATGTTAGAACCTACATCTGAGGTGTATAGTACATGTTAGACCTACATCTGAGGTGTATAGTACATGTTAGAACCTACATCTGAGGTGTATACCGGTAGTACATGTTAGATATCTGAGGTGTATAGTACATGTTAGATATCTGAGGTGTATAGTTCATGTTAGAACCTACATCTGAGGTGTATAGTACATGTTAGATATCTGAGGTGTATAGTACATGTTAGAACCTTCATCTGAGGTGTATAGTACATGTTAGATATCTGAGGTGTATAGTACATGTTAGAACCTACATCTGAGGTGTATAGTACATATTAGATATCTGAGGTGTATAGTACATGTTAGATATCTGAGGTGTATATTACATGTTAGAACCTACATCTGAGGTGTATAGTACATGTTAGACATCTGAGGTGTATAGTACATGTTAGACCTACATCTGAGGTGTATATATAAAAATAAGAAGATGTGGTATGATTGCCAATGAGACAACTCTCCTCAAGAGACCAAATGACACAGAAATTAACAACTATAAGTCACTGTATGGCCTTCAACAATGAGTAAAACCCATACTATATGTATAGTACATATTAGACCTTCATTGTAAATTAACAGCGATGATGAAAAATGAAAATGTAGAGTGAATGTTAACCCTGCAATTCAGATGTAAATGAAATATTAGACCTTCACTTGAGTTGTATACCAGTAGTAAATATAAACATGCACTGGAGATGTAAAGTTTAATGTTATTCAGTAAGAACTGAATCCATATTGTAAACTTTTTATGGTTCTCTGAATGTGTCATCAGCAGGAGATCAGTTGTACTGAAAGCATTGTTTTTAGGCATTACCATAATTTAATTGATAATTCAAGATATACTATCTTACTACGAAATGATCACCTCCTAAATTGAAATATTCTTTTAATGCATTTGCTGTACTGCACGAGTAAGTTGGAGAGTTCCTAAAGCAGTCCAATGTAGATGCAGTTGTAAAAAGCAACAGTTTGTATATCATGCATTTTTTAATGTATAGTTTTGTAATACAAAACTGCTGCATCGTTGCATTTTATACTTGTTGGATATGAAAGCAAAGGATTCTTAATTGCATGATCAGTTTTGAAGTTATGTCCTTATTTTCTTATTATATAGGAAACAGCTTTACAACTAGATTTAGACAGCAAGAAGAAGGGTCCATTGTATGGAATACCTGTTAGTATCAAGGAGACATACACTATGCCAGGATATCCCTGTACAGGAGGAATGATGTTTTATTTTGATGACCCAGTCACTGAAGAAAATATTCTAGTCCAGGTTTGAAGATTTCATAGATTTTTTTGTCATATAGTTGAATAATAATCCCAGGTGTGTTGCAGTCTGAATACTGAATTCTTCAAATTTAAGACCACACCTTTGCACAATTAAAAAAGAAAAAAAGACAACTGTAAATTTATTCCAAAGAAAATGATATTCAATTGGTTAAAATTTCTCACTGGTAAATTCAAAAACAGGTTGGAAGAAATCTCAAGTTATTTATCAATTATTAACCCTAAAATGGTCTACCTGTATGTGTTTGGTAAAAAATACCTTAAGCAGAATAGGGTACATAAACCAGGAAAAAAATGATTTATTATAGAAGTTTATTCAGTGTCCAATACCAAAGAATGTTGGGGCTTCTGTGGCTCAGTGGTCTAAGTAGTCAAACTACTGTATCATTAGCTTGCAACACTGAGAGTGTGAGTTTGAATCCCACACGTGGCAGGTGAGTTGGACTCCAATTTTAATTGACAAGGATTGTCAGTTTTCCTACCAAAGGTCGTGGTTCTTTCCAGGCAGTCTGGCTTCATCCACCAACAGAAATTGATGGCCTCAAAATAGCACTAAAGTTCTGAAAGTGGCATAAACATCAATCAATCAATCATAAGAATGGTTTTTTGTTGAATGAATATTAATAAAAAGTTGAAGATCTCAGTGCGAAACTCTTGTCATAATTGGCATATTTAACAGAAAAGTTTAATTTAATACATGTACATGTGTTTAATACGGGGTCCAAGATCTCATTTGTTTCTCCTTTGGTAGACTAATGGTGCATCAAACACATTGATGTTATATTTGTCATCATTGCAACCTTAATGTTCATTTTTGTTGAGCCTGCGACTTTTGTCGCAGAAAGCTCGACATAGGGATAGTGATCCGGGTGGCGTTAGCTCACTTCTTAAAAGCTTCATATTTTAGAAGGTGGAAGACCTGGATGCTTCATACTTTGTATATGGATGCCTCATGTTACGAAGTTTCCGTCAGTTACATGTCCAATGTCCTTGACCTCATTTTCATGGTTCAGTGACTACTTGAAAAAAAGTTAACATTTTTTGTAATGTTAAATTCTCTCTTATTATAAGTAGTAGGATAACTATATTTGGTATGTGCGTACCTTGCAAGGTCCTCATGCCCGTCAGACAGTTTTCACTTGACCTCAACCTCATTTCATGGATCAGTGAACAAGGTTAAGTTTTGGTGGTCAAGTCCATATCTTAGATACTATAAGCAATAGGTCTAGTATATTCGGTGTATGGAAGGACTGTAAGGTGTACATGTCCAACTGGCAGGTGTCATCTGACCTTGACCTCATTTTCATGGTTCAGTGGTTATAGTTAAGTTTTTGTGTTTTGGTCTGTTTTTCTTATACTGTATGCAATAGGTCTACTATATTTGGTGTATGAAATGATTGTAAGGTGTACATGTCTAGCTGTCAGGTGTCATCTGACCTTGACCTCGTTTTCATTATTCAGTGGTCAAAGTTAAGTTTTTGAGTTTTGGTCTTTTTTTCTAATACTATATGCAATAGGTCAACTATATTTGGTGTATGGAAATATTTTATGATCTATCTATATGTCAGTCGCGCAGGTTTTATATGACCTTGACCTCATTTTCACGGTTCATTGCTCAGTGTTAAGTTTTTGTGTTTTGGTCTGTTTTTCTTAAACTATAAGCAATGGGTCAACTATATTTGTTATATGGAAGAATTGTTAACTGTTCATGTCTGCCTGGCATGGTTCATCTGACCTTGACCTCATTTTCATGGTTCATTTGTCAATGTTTAGTTTTCTTGGTTAATGTTAAGTTTATGTGACAGTTGTAATTAAGCTTTATATTTAGGACTATCAACATAATATCAATGATTAGTAAAGAAGGCGAGACATTTCAGCGTGTGCACTCTTGTTCTGATTTATATTGATAAATGGAAATGTGAGGTGTACATCAATGAAACTTCAATCAAACAATACAAAAAAAAACAAAAGACAATCAAGCTAATTCAGAATAAGTGAATGCAGTATTTGAGTCCAATCTCTTTAATTCATGCACAAAATGAAGGTTTATATAGCTGGTGTTTTTATTTGACTGTGAAGTAGGTGCCACATATCACTCTGTTCTCAACCTTCATTTGAAATCAGCTTAATACAGTAAGTATTGGAAAAAAACGATTCTCTTTTGAAAAATTCTCAGTAAAGTATTTTGTTGCTGAAGCCTGTAGACTGATGTGAAAGTCCAAAAAGTTGTTCAATATTTTTTTTTCATAAGTTGGGACATATACTAGATATACCATGTTGATTGGTCATAGAAATACCAGAATATTATTTCTTACATAATAAGCTCAGCAATACTTTCACATTACCTTATTTTTTAGTAAGTCCTTATATAAACATATGATTTGATTTTATTACATTTAAGATATGACCTTGTAATGTTTAAATAGGTTTTAAAGAAGCAAGGGGCAATTCCATTTGTCAGGACCAACGTTCCACAAACTTTAATGACATTTGAATGTTCTAATTCACTATATGGCACAACAGGAAACCCATACGACCCCACTCGGATCCCAGGGGGATCATCAGGTGGTGAGGCTGCTCTGATTGGTGGAGGGGGTTCTATTCTAGGAATGGGAGGAGATATTGGTGGCAGTCTGAGGATCCCAGCACATATGGCAGGATGTTGCTCACTCAAACCATCTGGTGGTAGACTAAGGTTAATACTCTGCATAAAGTACAGTCAAACCTGCTATAAAGTCACCTCTATTTAGCAAAAACCTGTCTGCCAGGTTACCCTGTCCCGATGTAGTAGTATACTTATGTATTTTGAATATCAATTCATTGGTCACCTCTCTTGTAAGGTCATCTTACTCTGGTCCTGAGGGTGACCTTTAAATTCAGGTTTAACTGGTCCCTTACAATTTGTGAGGTGATGGTGATTTAAAATAAAACACAAAGCAATCAACAGATTTCATTTATTGGGCTTTCAAAATGCATTTTTCTTAATGGATGTAAAGATTCATGCTTGAATTTTCTTATACTTATTCTCTTAAAAAAAATAGATACATGTGGAAATATCCAAATTTAAAAATAAGGAGATGTGGTGTGATTGCCAATGAGACAACTATCCAGCAAAGTTCAAACGAAGTGGATGTATGCTATTATAGGCAACCATACAGCCTTCATCAATGAGAAAAACCCATATCTTATAGTCGGCTACAATAGGGTCCCCAACATGAATAATATGAAACAATCCAATTGAGAAAACGTAACGGCCTAATTTATAACAAAACAATTTACGAAAAACAAATATGACAGACATGAACTAACGACAACCTCTGATTTACAGGCTCCTGACTGAAAGCTTGTTTGTAAATTATTGTGTTTTTTACTCATTTTATGATTTGATTTCATTGTATATTATAATTAAGATTTGATAAAGGATAAGTTTCTGTGTTGTAAGAAGACAATGTGCATATCCACGACTGACTTATAATTAAGGTATATATAAGATGTCGCTTCACCAATAATTTTACTTCCTTTGCAGTCGCAGAGGCCAAAATAAGTTTAACAAAGGAGAAACTTTAGGTAAGAAAAACAAAGAGTTTAGACATTAAATACATCTAACAATATCAAGAAATTCATTAATTTTATAATTTAGACGTTTTTTGCTTGGAAAAAGGGTAGGATATGTATATGCCAGAGATTATGTCGTCGTTGTATTCAATCAGATGTGAATTTCAAAGTGTTTCATATATCTGACAGTATGATTCAATATTGAAAAGCAGGTTGACCATGAATTTTCACATAATTATGACAGTTTTTTATAAAAAAAAATTTAAATAAATGGAGATATGAAAATGTAAACAAATTTTCAGATAACTTTTTTTATAATATTACCAAAAAAAGTATTGTTTTTTTAAAAAACAATTATATTTACTTTTTCTCTGCAGTATTTTTTCATAATTTTTATTTGAAATTTCTAGATTTTATTTGGATTTTATTATTGCAGTGGAGACATTTAAAATGTATAAGTTTTTGGCATTTGATTTACTATATGTATTTAACTTTCTGGTTCCAGCTCTTGGTTGATCAATTATTGAAATATCACTTAACTATCTGCTTTAAAATTTTAGCACCTTATTATCCACTACAATTATATATTTCTTTGTTTAACCTTTGAACTGATTATAAATGAATTTTGTGTATTATTTTAGTACAGGCCCAGACAGGGCCAATGGCAGCTGAGGTAGATGGTCTGGTTAACTGTATGAGATGTTTACTGGTACCTGAGATGTTTACTTTAGATCCAGCAGTGCCACCTATACCTTTCAGAGAGGAGGTAATATTGACTCATTTCCTTAAATGTCTATTTTGTTATGTGATAAAGTGTCCTTTCAGTACAATAATGCTGTTCAGAATGAAGTTTTATAATACCTACCTCTGTTTTGGGGACATAAAATTTATAAGAAGTTTGGATGTTATTGAAAAAAAAAAATCTTAGTAAATTTCATGATTCCAGGGTAGATATTTTGATATTTAGATATAACATTGTACGTTTTCTGTCAGTAAGCATATTTATTACTATTGTAGATATTTACAGGGAAACATAAGCTGACAATAGGTTTCTACATAGATGATGGTAACTTGAAAGCTGTTCCTGCATGTCAGAGGGCGGTGTTAGAGGTCAAGGCTATTTTAGAATCCCAAGGTCATACAGTAAGTGATCTTGTTTTAGTGTCATATCAGGTACTCATATGAGATGGCATTGTTTTTATAGTATTGAAAAGTAGTGAATATATGTTATTTTCTCGTAAAAGATTCAATATGATTGATTATTGTTTGCTTAATGTCTATTGAGTCTTTTACATAATTTTAGTTTGACTATCAAACACAGGGTAGTCTATATGCTGCTTAATATTTTTTATGCTTGAATATTTATTCAATCTTTGGAATAGGAATAAAGTTTTTGACTTTGAGATGAAGGAACAGCAATAAAAGCACTGTTGTTTTGCTTTTAGTTCTGGTAAGTGTGTGTAGAGATTTAACAATGTCATGAATTGATACACTGTATTCCTTCTTTTTGATTAGGAGGATACACAGCAAGGAGAACAAGGTCATGACATGCCCTTCAGTAACAGTTTTTGATCAAAGTTATATCTTGTATGCACTTCCTTTTATTTATCAAAGTCACAAGTCACACACTTGTTGTCCATGGCCCTAAGGCGTGTCAATAATTAAATTCAATAAAAATCATATGTTGAACTTCAAGTTAACAGCCAATACGTATATCAAAATTGTGGCTAGGTCATATCTTTATTCTATAAATAAAATGAGATAGTGAATATAATAATGAGACAGAGACTCAAGAACCATCTAAAACTAGAAGATAATTAAATCTCTTCATTACTAGATTAGTTTTCATCATATATTATCAAGCTGTAAATTGGCCTGTGTTTAGGAAAGATGAATTACGGTAAACTGAAAGATCTGCAATCAAAACAAATTTCTAAATGAAATAAATAAAATAATTTAAGCAATATAGACCAATGATTAGGTTCCTAACTTATGCATAGTAACAAATGGTCTGGTTTTCTAATTGTTTCAGTACTCAATCCTTCCTCCTTCTTTTGGGGTTTCTTAAATCCAAGTGTGTGTATTGACCTTAACAAATGTAACAACCAGAAATATTTTTACAGTCATAGCAGAGTCAATTTTTTGGTTAACTAAAGCTGATGGTAGAGACATAAATCCCCTCAATGGTCAGTTCTAGTACATGTAGTAAGTTCTTCATTACATGATCATAACTTTCTCATATTGTTACAGTTAGTCCCTTTTAAACCTGTTGATGTTCACAGAATGGTAGCACTTTTTCTGAAATCTGTATTTGCAGACGGTGGAAAAAGTTATGTAAATGTGTTGTAAGTATATTTAAGGTTTTTACAAAATTTTAGTTTCATTAAATTCTAATCACCAAGGTATTGTTTCCATTTTAAATTGCAAAATTTTTTCTCACATGCATGGAATGTTTCAGAAACAGAGAATACTCTGCTGTAATGAAAGTGGCACCAATTGCAAAATATAGTGCTGCAAATCTTTATATAATATAAGAATGAATAACTATGATATAATATGTTAATAGTGGTATCCCCTGTGCATCCCAAATAACAAGTATATTAAACTGTAGTGTCCTGATTTTAACATTAATTACCAATCTGATTTTTGTTTTTTTTTACAAGGGAAATCGGTTTATATCCCATGTCACAGTAACAAATCATATTGCATGATTAGCTGGAATATTTCATTCCAGTACAATATTTATATATATATATATACTGGAATGAAATATCTAAGCTAATCATGCAATATCATATTGTTATTAACTGGCTGTATTGACCCTGGTATAGATTAAAGGTTAGCTGTATTGGCCCTGGTATAGATTAAAGGTAAGCTGTATTGGCCCTAGTATAGATTAAAGGTTAGCTGTATTGGCCCTGGTATAGATTAAAGGTTAGCTGTATTGGCCCTGGTATATATTAAAGGTTAGCTGTATTGGCCCTGGTATATATTAAAGGTTAGCTGTATTGGCTCTGGTATAGATTAAAGGTTAGCTGTATTGGCCCTGGTATATATTAAAGGTTAGCTGTATTGGCCCTGTTATAGATTAAAGGTAAGCTGTATTGGCCCTGGTATAGATTAAAGGTTAGCTGTATTGGCCCTGTTATAGATTAAATGTTAGCTGTATTGGCCCTGGTATAGATTAAAGGTTAGCTGTTATAGATTAAAGGTAAGCTGTATTGGCACTGGTATAGATTAAAGGTTAGCTGTATTGGCCCTGGTATAGATTAAAGGTTAGCTGTATTGGCCCTGGTATAGATTAAAGGTTAGCTGTATTGGCCCTGGTATATATTAAAGGTAAGCTGTATTGGTCCTGGTATATATTAAAGGTTAGCTGTATTGGCCCTAGTATAGATTGAGTTTAGCTGTATTGGCCCTGGTATATATTAAAGGTTAGCTGTATTGGTCCTGGTATATATTAAAGGTTAGCTGTATTGGCCCTGGTATATATTAAAGGTTAGCTGTATTGGCCCTAGTATAGATTGAGGTTAGCTGTATTGGCCCTGGTATATTTGAAAGGTTAGCTGTATTGGTCCTGGTATATATTAAAGGTTAGCTGTATTGGCCCTGTTATAGATTAAAGGTTACCTGTATTTGCCCTGGTAAAGATTAAAGGTTAGCTGTATTGGCCCTGGTATAGATTAAAGGTTAGCTGTATTGGCCCTAGAATAGATTAAAGGTAAGCTGTATTGGCACTGGTATAGATTAAAGGTTAGCTGTATTGGCCCTGGTATAGATTAAAGGTTAGCTGTATTGGCCCTGTTATAGATTAAAGGTTAGCTGTATTGGCCCTGGTATATATTAAAGGTAAGCTGTATTGGCCCTGTTATAGATTAAAGGTTAGCTGTATTGGCCCTGGTATATATTAAAGGTAAGCTGTATTGGCCCTGGTATATATTAAAGGTTAGCTGTATTGGCCCTGGTATAGATTAAAGGTTAGCTGTATTAGCCCTGTTATAGATTAAAAGTTAGCTGTATTGGCCCTGGTATAGATTAAAGGTTAGCTGTATTGGCCCTGGTATATATTAAAGGTTAGCTGTATTGGCCCTGGTATATACTAAAGGTTAGCTGTATTGGCCCTGGTACAGATTAAAGGTAAGCTGTATTGGCCCTGGTATAGATTACTGGTTAGCTGTATTGGCCCTGGTATATACTAAAGGTTAGCTGTATTGGCCCTGGTATAGATTAAAGGTTAGCTGTATTGGCCCTGGTATAGATTAAAGGTTAGCTGTATTGGCCCTGGTATATATTAAAGGTTAGCTGTATTGGCCCTGGTATATACTAAAGGTTAGCTGTATTGGCCCTGGTATAGATTAAAGGTAAGCTGTATTGGGTCTGGTATAGATTAAAGGTTATGTATGATTACAAAGACAGGTATTTAACACATGATGAATATCAACAGGGCATATATATTGCACATGCTGTTTATCCATATTATAATATAGGGATTATTTGATATGATCATTTAATAATATAATTTATAAGATTTCATTAAGTCAACAAATTGAATTATTTGCTGGGATGCAACCTCTTTATAACAATATGTTTCTGATTACATACCAATGTTCAAAAATGTTTAATGAAATTCCAATGGAGGCATACTTAAGTCATTTTCAGCTGCCAAAAGCAACATGCTCTTAAGTTTTTTACATGAACAAGAACATTTTAATTATAGATACCAGATGAATCAAACAGGCTACTAAAGCCCCTAATTTTCATTTTAAGTTTAGTTTTTGATAAGGTTTTTATTTTTACTGATATGATTTTGCAGAGTTGGTTTTATTGAAAGTTCAATCATAATTATATGTTACTTTTCCATAGAAAATTTGTTTGTCATCTTTAACTTCATTATATTTCAGAGAAAAAGACATTGTTGATCCTTCATTACGTAGGATTAGATTTGCATTTGGGCTGCCACATTGGTTTAGGAAATTGTTTAGTTATGTTGCCAAAATAATAACAAAGGTAAAAAAAATAAATATAGATATTAAACTGTAATATACCCATGTATGGATTATAAAAGGATAAAGCACATGTGGTAAGTACTAAAGTAGTATCACATCAATAATTTCCAATTCAGGTTATAACTCTTATTTTTATCGATCACATATATAGTTTTCAATGTTAAAACAACACATGGTGATTCAGTGAACCGGATAGACGATAATGATTATATATTACAATGATGCTACTCAGGTAAAAACAATTGTACTGGTTATTTAGATATATGTATGTGAAACTATGGGAGTTTAAACTCATTTGATTTTTCCCTGGTCAAGTGAGGCTGTTTAAAATACAGGGGTCCCTAAGTATGCGACCTGGGCTACTTAGGTATTTATATATCATGAAATGCTTGAATACAAATATTTGTTATCGTTAAAAAAACAAACAAACAAACAAACAAAGGTAAAACTGTGTTAAAAAACATTTTGCATGTTTGGTACATTTTTGTTTGGAAATGTCTTTTTTAGCTCACCTGGCTCAAAGGGCCAAGTGAGCTTTTCTCATCACTTGGCGTCCGTCGTCGTTATCTTTTTACATTTTGAACTTCTTCTAGAGAACCACTGAATGGAATGAAAGCAAACATAGCATGAATGTTCCTTATGAGGTGCTTACCAAGTGTTGTTACTTTGAAGTCGATCCATTATCCAAGATGTCCGCCAGAGAGGGACTTAGTTTAACATAGGACCCTATGGGAAATACATACAAATGTCTTCTTTTAGAGAACCACAAAATGGAATGAAATAAAACATGGCATGAATGTTCCTTATGAGGTGCTGACCAAGTGTTGTAACTTTGTAGGCGATCTATCATCCAAGATGGCCACCAGTGGGGACTTAGTTTAACATAAGACCTATTTGAAATACATACAAATGTTTTCTTTTAGAGAACCACTAAATGGAATGAAACCAAACATGGCATGAATGTTCCTAAAGAGGTGCTGTCAAAGTGTTGTTACTTTGTAGCCAATCAATCATCCAAAATGGCTGCCAGCGGGGAACTTAGTTTAACAAAAGACCCTATGTGAAATACATACAAAAGTCTTCTTCTAGAAAACCGCTTAATGGATTGAAACCAAACATGGTATGAATGTTTCTTTTGAGGTGCTGACCAAATGTTGTTACTTTGATTTTAATACATTTTTACATGGTTTCCAAAACCAAAGTAGAATCAGGTGAGTGACACAGGCTCTTGGGAGCCTCTAGTTTTGTTCAAGTTATTCATTGATTTAAAAAATCAGTAGTTTTGACAAAGTAATACATGTCTATAGTATAATAATTGTATTATTTTATGTATTGTTATTACCTCATAACTGATATTTTTGTCCCCCACACAACGCATTGCTGTGGACATAGAAATACCGGGCAGGCATTTGTCCGTCCAGCCTTGTTAGCGCTCTCACGTATACAGTTCTTGCCAGATTTTAAGAAACATATCATAGGTTTATATCAGCAATGTCTTGGATGAGTTCCAAAATTTGTGACGATCAATTATTTTTAAAAGAGTTATGCCCCTTGGAAACATTAATTATATGGAAAATTGCATCGTTAGCGCTCTCATGTGTACAATTCTTGCCAGAATTTTATGAAACTTATATCATAGGTTTTTATCAGAAATGCTTTTGACGAGTTCAAAAATCAGTGCCGATCAATAATTTTAAGAGTTATGCCCCTTTGAAATATTGATTATATGGAAAATTGCATTGTTAGCACTCTCATGTGTACAATTCTTGCCATAATTTTAGGAAAACTATATCATAGATTAATATCAGCATTGTCTTTGACTAGTTCAAAAATCAGTGCAGATCAATTATTTTTAAAAGAGTTATGCCCCTTGGAAAAGAGAGGCAAAAGATACCAAAGGGACATTCAAACTCAAAAGTCGAAAATAAACTGACTATGCCAAGGCTAAAAAAGAAAAAGACAAACAGACAAACAATAGTACACAAAACACAACATAGAAAACTAAAGACTGGGCAACACGAACCCCACCAAAAACTCTGGGTCATCTTAGGTGCTCCGAAAGGGTAAGCAGATCCTGCTCCACATGTGGCACCCGTCCTGTTGCTCATGTTAGTACAAACCCGGTAATACTGGTAAGTCTAATTCGGTAGGTCACATTCAGGGAAAAGGGGACAGGATTGTAGTAACCACATTTGGAACATATCCACTATCATCTGTAAAACGGATATTCCATAACGGTCAACCAACTTGTGATGGCGTCCGTAATATTTACGAAGGGATGATTTCAACTTCACCACTTGGAACTCCTGGTTTAATAGCTTCTTTGTGAGCAGCAACCCTCTATCAAGGAAATCATGATAGGGAATATAAGCCCTGGAATATCGTATCAACTGGGAGATATATGCTCTGTATGCAGGCGCTGCTGGAATGTTGCTACATAGAAATGGAAAGTTCACAATCGGGAAGCTGAAACCATCTCTTTTTGGTAAAGTTTTGTTTTCAACCGACCCTCATTGTCAATTTCTAGATGTAAGTCAAGATATGAGGCAGACTTAACTGTATCTGTTGTATCCTTTATCTCAAGTTAGATGGGATAGATGCGTTCAACATAGTCACCAAATTTTGAATTATTTAGTGAAAGAACATCATCTATATAGCGGAACATAAAGTTAAAGGATACTGCTAACTTCTTTTCTTTCTTGATAGAAGTTCCTGTATGAAGTCAGCCTCATATGAATAAAGGAACAAGTCGGCAAGAAGAGGGGCACAGTTGGTTCTCATGGGAATGCCGATTGTTTGTTCAAAAACACGTGGAAATATTGATTATATGGAAAATTGCATTGTTAGCGCTCTCAAGTGTACAATTCTTGCCAGAATTTTATGAAACTTATATCATAGGTTTATATCAGCAATGTCTTTGACACTTTCGAAAATAAGTGCTGATCAAATATTTGTAACAAGTTATGCCTCTTGGAAGTATTAATTATAATGGAAATCACATTGCATTTGCTCTGAAGCCTTTATTTCTCTAAATTGTTTTAAAGAACAAAAAAAGAGTTTTTTTTTTTAGTTATTGCCCTTGTACCTTGGATAGATAAAATATGTGCAATGCAGGGGACATCGGAACTCTGTTCTTTTATAGATTTTGTGACAGATGACATTTTGATGTTGACAAATCATACACATTGCTTTGATTTTCCTCATTTTTTTCAGGACCAGTTTACTTATCTATTGATACAGAGTGGATGTGGTGTAGAGTAAGTTCTTTGTATAGTTCTTCATTTATATATAAAGAGGAGTCCTGGTTGTATTTGAAAATTGTGTTAAGAGATTTTACAATAGTGTTAATAGAAGGAAAGAGTGTTATTGACAGGTGAACTTATGGATGATGACATTACTAGTGTAAATTCAGAAATTAGTGCTTGCATTTATTATTGCAAATCACTAATAACTAGTAAAATTGTGAGATCTAATTAATGCAATTGCAATAAAATGCTCTGCTGGGCGCAGCTAAATACGACCGCAGAGGTCGAACCCTGAACAGTTTGGGCAAGTATGGACACAACATTCAAGCTTGATACAGCACTGAATTTGGATTGTGATTAAATATTTGACACAGAACAGGTTTCTGACACAGAATGAATGTGGTCTAAGAACTTATTTTTTTTTAATTTACTTATTCAAACCATATCATTATTATTTGCTTTTATATATAAATCAGAAATAACCAATTTAAAAAGTGAAAATTTTAAAGAAAAAAAAATCCCCCCCCCAATTTTTTGAACCCCCTTATGATTCATCACCCCCAAACTCAATTCCAGCCTTCCTTTTGTGGTATGGTACCTGCAGTACAATTTCAGAGAAATCTATACACTTGAACACAAGTTATTGTCTGGAAACTAGAAAAATGCTTGTTTTTTGCCCCTTTTTTGGCCCCTAATTCCTAAAATTTTGAAGCAATTACCCCCAAAATCAATCCCAGCCTTTCCTTTGTGGTATGGTACCTTGCAGTACAATTTCAGAGAGATCCATACACTTGAACACAAGTTATTGTCTGGAACCTAGAAAAATGCTTATTTTTGGCCACTTTTTGGCCCCTTATTCCTAAACGATTTGGGCAATTACCCACCAACTCAATTCCAGCTTTCCCTTTGTGATATGGAACCTTGTAGTACAATTTCAGAAAGATCCATACTCTTACACACAAGTGATTGTCATGAAACTAGAAAAATGCTTGTTTTTGCCCCTTTTTTGGCCCCTAATTCCTAAAATTTTGAGGCAATTACCCCCAAAATCAATCCCAGCATTCCCTGTGTGATATGGAACCTTGTGGTACAATGTCAGAGAGATCCATACACTAACACACAAGTTATGTCTGGAAGTTACAAAAATGCTTATTTTTGGCCCCTTTTTGGCCGCTAATTCCTTAACTGTTGGTACCATAACCCCCAAAATCAATCCCAACCTTTCTTTTGTGGTATTGAACCTTATGGTAAAATTTCATAGAGATCCATTCACTTAAACTAAAGTTAGAGTGCGAAAACCAATGTGTCTTCGGACGATGCCGGAAGACGACGACGACGCCAACGTCATACCAATATACGACCGCAAAAATTTTTTGCGGTCGTATAAAAACTTGGTAAAGGAAAATCTGAAATTATGAATACAAGTTTTTATTATTGCGAATCTGATACTGTTGTATTTTTCACATTAATAAAAACATCGCAATAATTTCTAAATTTACAGTATATCTTTTCCACCACTTTGTTATGGGATAAAAAGCAATAACAAGCAGTTACAAGGAACATTTACGACAGGGCAGCACTTCTTGATACTTTAAGGCACTAAAGAAACAATTTTTTGCAAACGATATAGAAATAAGGAGATGTATGGTTGCCAATAAGACAACTATCCACCAATGACAAAAGGACATGGAGGTAAACAATTACAGGTCACTGTACAGTCTTCAACAATGAGCAAAAACCATACTGTAAAGTAAACTACAGTATAAAAGGAAACACGCCAGCTTTTGATTTATTGCTCAAACTGGTCAAATGATGTTACGCAGCTTTAGTTGTTAGTCCTTTAAAATTCTTGCTGCCTCAAGTCTGAAAGAAATGTATTACCCTTTGTGTGTACAATAAGCTCAACTGGCCCAAATTGCTAATATATTTTTAAGTGCTATCAGTCTTAGGATTTAGGGGAAAGATATTGTAAATAACTAAAGGGGAATTAATACAATGTCAGATTTTCAACCATTTCTGTGTTTTGCTACACAATATTTAAAAAGATGATTAAATTAATGGTGCCAGAAAACAGTGATTAAATAAGACATTAAAGACTGAATATTAATTTCCTTTTTACTTTTTAGATCAGTAACAGAATATTGGGATTTAGCTATGAATATAGAGGTAAAGATACTTATATATTATGTCACTGTAACTTAAACGGTAATAACTTTTTTTTTTACATCTCTCAATCCACATTTGTATATAATAAACAAATGTTTTAGATCAAATTAAAAAATGTAAATTTGTTTTACTAATGGGTGAAAACTCTAAAACAAAACTGACTGTTTCTCAAAATAATGCCCTAGATAGATGAATAAAAAAATTTGTAAGGGTTCCACGGAACCCAGTGTCTCACCTACTTTTGCTGTTAGTCGTTGGCTCAACAAAAATGTGGAAAAAATTATTAAAAATTTTCCTCTAGATACTATCTTTTGATTGTAAGAAGTTCTGTTCAAGTTTGGTAAAAATCCGAGAAGGTTTATGAATCTATTAAATGTTTTAAAAACTTTAACTGCAGACTGTACGTAATGTTAACTGGAATAAAACTAAGCCCATTTTTTAAGTAATCTATGGAAAAACTGGAAATAAATTTTTACAAAATTTCTTTCTAGATACTAGCTTTTGATCATAAACAAGCTTCTGTCCAAGTGTGGTACAAATTCAGGATAGTTAAAGAAAGTTATTAAAATTTGAAAAACTTTAACCACAGAGTGAATGTTATGTTAACTGGCAGAAAAACTAAGTCCCTATATGAGTAAAATACGGATAAACAGGATTTTTTTTTTACAAATTTTTCTTCTGGATACTATCTTATGATTATAAACAAGCTTCTGTCAAAGTTTGGTACAAATCTAGGATAGTTTAAGAAAGTTATTAAAATTTGAAAAACTTTAACCACAGAGTGAATGTAATGTTAACTGGCAGAAAAACTAAGTCCATTTATGAGTAAAATACGGACAAACAGGATTTTATTTAAAAAAATTTTCTTCTGGATACTATCTTATGATTATAAACAAGCTTCTGTCAAAGTTTGGTACAAATCTAGGATAGTTTAAGAAAGTTATTAAAATTTGAAAAACTTTAACCACAGAGTGAATGTAATGTTAACTGGCAGAAAAACTAAGTCTATTTATGAGTAAAATACGGATAAACAGGATTTTTTTTTTACAAAATTTACTTCTGGATACTGTCTTATGATCATAAACAAACTTCTGTCCAAGTTTGGTTGAAATGCAGGATAGTTTAAGAAAGTTATTAAAATTTGAAAAACTTTAACCACGCCGACGGAATGTAGGATCGCTATGTCTTGCTATTGCGACAAAAGTCGCAGGCTCGACAAAAAGAAATAGCTATATTTAGGAGACGCTTGATATTTATTCATACAACTTATCTATTGATAGCAGTAACTACATCTACTTCACATTAAACAATTTTAATACCAGCACTGTCAGTACAATCATTATAATATGATATCATTATCCTATATCAAAATTATATTCCCACAGCAGACATGGATTCATTGTTGTTTGCTTAATATCCAGTGACAAATATTGTATGCATATTGAGGACTGCCACTGGAAAAGGAGGGTAGCAGACATTGAAAACCAAAAATGTTATTGGCATGGTGATGACCACTTATCTAATTGAGTTTCTATTTCTTGCATATTCACAGTGGACAACATAGTACAAAAATGTCACCTGCACAAATATTTTGCTATGATGATCATGTGTAATATAGATTAATAAGCTTAGCTGATATATCATCTACTTGTTTTATTTGAAGATAATGAAAAAAGCTTACCGGTACACAATGAGAATCAACTTAATGTATGATGCTATTTCATATTATATTAATGTGTGGGGAGATGTATTAACTATTTTATTATTTTAATTTTATCTGAAATTTCATATTTTTCAGAGTTACAGAACAGATTTTTTAAAGAAATGGCGAGATAACAAGTTAGATGCTGTTATTTGTCCAGGATTCGCTTTTACAGCAGTTCCTTCAGGGAGAGTCACAGATGTAACAGGTATTCAATTTTTTAAACAGCAAAATTATAGTTCCCACTGTCAAATTCAGTTTTACTGGCTAGGCATAGCTATAAGATACACTTATGGATGTTCACAGTTTGAAGCAGAGTTTAAATTTGGCGATATTGTAAGCCAAACCTGTTCATCAGCTTTTCTTTTCTCATTTATTCTTATACCTGATAATGATCTTCCCTAATGATAAACATTACAAGAGGGAATATTTTGCAATTTATCTCAATTGCAAAATTAGTGAAAATATGCCCCTTGAGAAAATGTTTCCATTTTACAGTATACATCTGGGAGGGTCACAGTTTTAGCAGATAAAAAATGTATTCTAGAAGAGGATTATCAGACAAGGAAAAATGTCCACAGTAAAATTCACTCATGCTTAATTGTAGTGAGATGTAGTAATGTAACTTTGAAGTGAGTGTGAACAACAGCCATTACTTGGCTTCTGTTATCTATAAACTTTAAGTGAGTGTGAACTACAGCCATTACTTCTGTTATCTATAAACTTTAAATGAGTGTGAACTACAGCCACTACTTCTGTTATCTATAAACTTTAAATGAGTGTGAACTACAGCCATTACTTCTGTTATCTATAAACTTTAAATGAGTGTGAACTACAGCCACTACTTCTGTTATCTATAATTTTTAAGTGAGTTGTGAACTACAGCCATTACTTGGCTTCTGTTATCTATACACTTTAAGTGAGTGTGAACTACAGCCATTACTTGGCTTCTGTTATCTATAAACTTTAAGTGAGTGTGAACTACAGCCATTACTTCTGTTATCTATAAACTTTAAATGAGTGTGAACTACAGCCACTACTTCTGTTATCTATAAACTTTAAATGAGTGTGAACTACAGCCATTTCTTCTGTTATCTATAAACTTTAAATGAGTGAACTACAGCCACTACTTCTGTTATCTATAAACTTTAAATGAGTGTGAACTACAGCCACTACTTCTGTTATCTATAAACTTTAAATGAGTGTGAACTACAGCCACTACTTCTGTTATCTATAATTTTTAAGTGAGTGTGAACTACAGCCATTACTTGGCTTCTGTTATCTATAATATTTGCTGTTACCTTTACAGTTATTGATGCGATATTAAATTGTACCATTAGTCGTTTAGTCAGTTCTATATTTCTTCAGGGTTCTCACTAAGGATTTTTGAAGGCAATTCTAGGGACTTGTCAATTTTGGCTATGACAAGTCCAATAGTGAGAAGATGAAATTTTATTGATATATAATTTATTATATTAGTCTCCCTTACAAAAAAAAAGCAAGGAAAAAAAATATATGTGCTCAGCTGATACAACATTATACAATCTTGATGCATCTTTGGACTCAACAGTTTTGATAATGATGAGTCCAGACGGAATTTCACGAGTCCAGGACTCATGAACTCGCATTAGTGAGAACACTGTTTCTTTTTGTTTAATTTCTTTTGTAGGCAATGAAAATATGGTGTATATATTAGTTTTAACTTAAATGATAAATTTTTGATTTGTATGAGGATGATTAGCAAGAATTTCAAAACTTTTTTTCTTTTGAGTCAAAGCAAGATTAACCTTATAACTGAATATTTTCCAACAATATGTAATTATTAGCAAAACAAAGGATATGGGGCATATTTCTTTTTTTTCAACCCTACAATTCTATATAGTCACTAGGAGGTGGGAGTTTGTTGGGATCTGTGAAGGAATAAAATAAAGTTCTAAGTATTTATACCAGTAATTACAATATCATCATGTATGATGTCATAGACTCCCTTTTTATAAATATAGATTTCCTAGACTTATCTGTACATGTAATGTTTAAAGTAAAGGTAGCTAAAACGTTGCAGGGTATATATAACTTTTATACCCCACCTTACAAGGACAGGACAATTTACACTAGACCTTTTTCATTTATCTTGATCATTTTCATGCCTGCAGATATTTTTATAAGTTACAGATGAATCTATGTTTCACTCAGTGATTCACATTTGAAAATAACAGACAGTGGAATTTGAAAATGTTATAAAAATTTTGCTTATTGGAAATTTTATTTGTCAATTATTCCAAAATTGAGATTATTTTTAGTACAATGATTAAATAAGAGGGTATTTTTTTCAGGTTCACATATTTTAAATGGAATTTACCAATTATGTTCCTTGTTTCTAGAAAAGTTAATGCACTATTTTTTTACTGCATAGTTTTGTTTTGTTTTCAGATATCTAGCTGATTGTTGGTATTTAGTTGTACAATTTTTATTTGTTTTTCAGGTGGAGTGACCTATACAAACCTCTACAATTTGTTGGACTACACAGCAGGAACCTTAAAAGTGACAAATGTGACACAGGCTGATCTGGATAACTTCAAACATTACCCATCTAATACCTGGATGGAAAAAAACATCAAGAAGGTGATTTATCTCCCTTGTCTTATATCAAGCTATGGTGTACATAATTGTATAATGCTTAGTTGATTTATTATCCCGCTAATATTAAACACTATTTTGACATTGTTCACTTTTTAGCTCACCTGGCCCAAAGGGCCAAGTGAGCTTTTCTCATCGCTTGGCGTCCGTCGTCGTCGTTAACTTTTACAAAAATCTTCTCCTCTGAAACTACTTGGCCAAATTTAACCAAACTTGGCCACAATCATCATTGGGGTATCTAGTTTAAAAAATGTGTCCGGTGACCCGGCCAACCAACCAAGATGGCCGCCATGGCTAAAAATAGAACATAGGGGTAAAATGTAGATTTTGGCATATATCTCTGAAACCAAAGCATTTAGAGCAAATCTGACATGGGGTAAAATTGTTTATCAGGTCAAGATCTATCTGCCCTGAAATTTTCAGATGAATCGACAACCCATTGTTGGGTTGCTGCCCCTGAATTGGTAATTTTAAGGAAATTTTGCCGTTTTTGGTTATTATCTTGAATATTATTATAGATAGAGATAAACTGTTAACAGCAATAATGTTCAGCAAAGTAAGATCTACAAATAAGTCAACTTGACCAAAATGGTCAGTTGACCCCTTAAGGAGTTATTGCCCTTTATAGTCAATTTTTAACCATTTTTCATAAATTTTTGAAATCTTTTACAAAAATCTTCTCCTCTGAAACTACTTGGCCAAATTTAACCAAACTTGGCCACAATCATCATTGGGGTATCTAGTTTAAAAATTGTGTCCGATGACCCCGCCCGCGAACCAAGATGGCCGACATGGTTAAAAAATAGTACATAGGGTAAAATGCAGTTTTTGGCTCATATCTCTGAAACCAAAGCATTAAGAGCAAATCTGATGGGATAAAATTGTTCATTAGGTCAAGATCTATCTGCCCTGAAATTTTCAGACCAATCAGGCAACACGTTGTTGGGTTGCTGCCCCTGAATTGGTAATTTTAAGAAAATTTTGCAGCTTTTGGTTATTATCTTGAATATTATTATAGATAGAGATAAACTGTAAACAGCAATAATGTACAGCAAAGTAAGATCTACAAATAAGTCACATGATCAAAATTGTCAATTGTCCCCTTAAGGAGTTATTGCCCTTTATAGTCAATTTTTTACAATTTTCATAAATTTTGTAAATTTTTGTAAATTTTTACATAATATTTTCCACTGTAACTACTGGGCCAAGTTCATTATAGATAGAGATTATAGTAAGGAGCAAGAATGTTCAGTAAAGTAAGATCTACAAACACATCACCATCACCGAAACACAATTTTGTCATGAATCCATCTGTGTCCTTTGTTTGATATGCACATAGACCAAGGTGAGCGACACAGGCTCTTTAGAGCCTCTAGTTTAGCTCACCTGGCCCAAAGGGCCAAGTGAGCTTTTCTCATCACTTGGCGTCCGTCCTCGTCATCCGTCCTCGTCGTCCGTCATCGTTAACTTTTACAAAAATATTCTCCTCTGAAACTACTGGGCCAAATTTGACCAAACTTGGCCACAATCATCATTGGGGTATCTAGTTTAAAAAATGTGTCCGATGACCCGGCCAACGAACCAAGATGGCCACCATGGCTAAAAATAGAACATAGGGGTAAAATGTAGATTTTGGCTTATATCTCTGAAACCAAAGCATTTAGAGCAAATCTGACATGGTGGGGGGGAAAAGTTTATCAGGTCAAGATCTATCTGCCCTGAAATTTTCAGATGAATCGACAACCCATTGTTGGGTTGCTGCCCCTGAATTGGTAATTTTAAGGAAATTTTGCCGTTTTTGGTTATTATCTTGAATATTATTATAGATAGAGATAAACTGTTAACAGCAATAATGTTCAGCAAAGTAAGATCTACAAATAAGTCAACTTGACCAAAATGGTCAGTTGACCCCTTAAGGAGTTATTGCCCTTTATAGTCAATTTTTAACCATTTTTCATAAATTTTTGAAATCTTTTACAAAAATCTTCTCCTCTGAAACTACTTGGCCAAATTTAACCAAACTTGGCCACAATCATCATTGGGGTATCTAGTTTAAAAATTGTGTCCGATGACCCCGCCCGCGAACCAAGATGGCCGACATGGTTAAAAAATAGTACATAGGGTAAAATGCAGTTTTTGGCTCATATCTCTGAAACCAAAGCATTAAGAGCAAATCTGATGGGATAAAATTGTTCATTAGGTCAAGATCTATCTGCCCTGAAATTTTCAGACCAATCAGGCAACACGTTGTTGGGTTGCTGCCCCTGAATTGGTAATTTTAAGAAAATTTTGCAGCTTTTGGTTATTATCTTGAATATTATTATAGATAGAGATAAACTGTAAACAGCAATAATGTACAGCAAAGTAAGATCTACAAATAAGTCACATGATCAAAATTGTCAATTGTCCCCTTAAGGAGTTATTGCCCTTTATAGTCAATTTTTTACAATTTTCATAAATTTTGTAAATTTTTGTAAATTTTTACATAATATTTTCCACTGTAACTACTGGGCCAAGTTCATTATAGATAGAGATTATAGTAAGGAGCAAGAATGTTCAGTAAAGTAAGATCTACAAACACATCACCATCACCGAAACACAATTTTGTCATGAATCCATCTGTGTCCTTTGTTTGATATGCACATAGACCAAGGTGAGCGACACAGGCTCTTTAGAGCCTCTAGTTTAGCTCACCTGGCCCAAAGAGCCAAGTGAGCTTTTCTCATCACTTGGCGTCCGTCCTCGTCATCCGTCCTCGTCGTCCGTCATCGTTAACTTTTACAAAAATATTCTCCTCTGAAACTACTGGGCCAAATTTGACCAAACTTGGCCACAATCATCATTGGGGTATCTAGTTTAAAAAATGTGTCCGATGACCCGGCCAACGAACCAAGATGGCCACCATGGCTAAAAATAGAACATAGGGGTAAAATGTAGATTTTGGCTTATATCTCTGAAACCAAAGCATTTAGAGCAAATCTGACATGGTGGGGGGGAAAAGTTTATCAGGTCAAGATCTATCTGCCCTGAAATTTTCAGATGAATCGGACAACCTGTTGTTGGGTTGCTGCCCCTGAATTGGTAATTTTAAGGAAATTTTGCCGTTTTTGGTTATTATCTTGAATATTATTATAGATAGAGATAAACTGTAAACAGCAATAATGTTCAGCAAAGTAAGATCTACAAATAAGTTAACTAGACCAAAATGGTCAGTTGACCCCTTAAGGAGTTATTGCGCTTTATAGTCAATTTTTAACCATTTTTCGTAAATTTTTGTAATCTTTTACAAAAATCTTCTCTGAAACTACTAAGACAAATTTAACCAAACTTGTCCACAATCATCATTAGGGTATCTAGTTTAAAAAATGTGTCCGATGACCCCGCCTGCGAACCAAGATGGCCGACATGGCTAAAAAATAGTACATAGGGTAAAATGCAGTTTTTGGCTCATATCTCTGAAACCAAAGCATTTAGAGCAAATCTGATGAGGATAAAATTGTTCATTAGGTCAAGATCTATCTGCCCTGAAATTTTCAGACCAATCAGGCAACACGTTGTTTGGTTGCTGCCCCTGAATTGGTCATTTTAAGAAAATTTTGCAGCTTTTGGTTATTATCTTGAATATTATTATAGATAGAGATAAACTGTTAACAGCAATAATGTACAGCAAAGTTAGATCTACAAATAAGTCGACATGACCAAAATTGTCAATTGACCCTTCAAGGAGTTATTACCCTTTAAAGTCAATTTTTTTACAATTTTCATAAATTTTGTAAATTTTTGTAAATTTTTACAAAATATTTTCCACTGTAACTACCAGGCCAAGTTCATTATAGATAGAGATAATAGATAGAGATAGAATGTTCAGTAAAGTAAGATCTACCATCACCAAAACACAATTTTGTCATGAATCCATCTGTGTCCTTTGTTTAATATGCACATAGACCAAGGTGAGCGACACAGGCTCTTTAGAGCCTCTAGTTTTTTTCCAATCTATCAGGTATGCAAACAAGCTGAATTCTAATTTGTACTCAGCTGTGTATTTTGAAATTTCAAGTCCAATGACTTGTATTTTTATAGACATCAGGTATAATTTTGAACTTCATACATTTAACTAAAGGTGGGGGTTACACGGTATGATTTTTCATAAGATTTTTTACCTATAATGGGTCACTTTTGGTAAATTGAATGGAAAATTGTATCGTGTGAATAGCATGCTGTACGATTTACCTGGGCTACAGTATCAAATCTGATGGAAAATTGTATCATGTAAACGCACCTTCACATAAGTAAATGACATTGAAATAAAACCAATCTGTGTGCAGATGGTATTTTAGGTAAATTGAATGGAAAATTGTATCGTGTGAATAGCATGCTGTACGATTTACCTGGGCTACAGTATCAAATCTGATGGAAAATTGTATCATGTAAACGCACCTTCACATACCGGGTAAGTAAATGACATTGAAATAAAACCAATCTGTGTGCAGATGGTATTTTAGGTAATTGGTGAATATTTACCTGAACAGATCACTAAAGCTAGGTTATGGACTTGAAGCTTGGTTAGTATTTTCAATATACCCCTTTCCAGAAACTCATTTCGGGAATCATAATTTTACTCTAAAATTATCATTTGAAGCAGGTTATTTCCCTTGTCGGGAAGTAGAAATGATTTTTCGGCAATGAAGTTTAATGAAGAGTCCAGGGGTTTTTAATAATAGAATCTTACTAAAGGTTGGTGGTTTGTTCCAGGCATTCTGGTCTCTTACAGCATTAAAACTGACTACTATGAATTGTACAAGTGTATAAAAATTAGTGTAATAATCAACACTGGAAAAATTAAACATTTGACATCTACAAAGGAAATCCTGCATGGATCTTTTTATTTGTTATTTATAATAAGAATTAAAAGTGTAATACATCACATACTGATAACTTATATATTGTTTTTTTCTACAGTTTGCAGAAGGTTCCAAAGGTTTACCTGTTGGAGTACAGTTTGTAGGCTTATCCTACCAAGAAGAATTGGTTCTAAGATTAATGAAAGAAGTGGAAACATGCTTGCATAAGAATAGTTCAAAAGAAAAATTGTAAATGTAATTGTTAAGTAATTTATATTAAGATTTTTTTCATTTATTTATTATATAAAGAGCAAAATACCATGATAAATGAAATAAATTCAAACAAGTGCTTGTAAACAAAAAAAAATCAATAAGTATTCCTTAAAAAAGTAACATTCTCCTGGGTGCTGGCATATTGATCTCTTTTTTTTCCTTCTCACTTCATTTAGGTTTTTGAATTTAGGTGCATCTTAAAAGAAGATCTTTGTATTGATATATTGGCTCATTCAGTAAATTTGCTTTTGAAATACTGTGCATATATTTAAGGCAATGGCCAGTTCATATTCAAAATCTTTTAGATTAAAAATACACAAGTCTGAATGGAACAGCAATAGGATTTCCTTCATATATCTATATATTCAATGTTTAATTCTAGATATAAATAGTCATTTTTTGTCTTAATAAAATATACCAGTACTTTTGACTCTTATTTGTGACAAGAACTACCTCCAATAACAACATTCAAGTAAATATATAGTCACTCTTGTTTATAAGGATTAAGTTTATGGAATTTTTCATTATTTCAATATAAATGTAATATGACATGAAATGTTATAATAAGGATTAATCCACTTTTGTTTATTCCTGTTGTCCAGGAGCATATTCATGGTTTGAACTTTTATTCTTCTTTAGGAAAAAAATAATTCAATCAAATTATATTTAAACAGTATTGATGTATTTTTATCTGCAAATTTTTTTTATTTATCAAAAACTATTATTAAATAATTTGAATTTGAAAAAAATGAGATGTTTTCTATTAGAGTTGTGAATCAAATGACTTGGCAATCAAATGACTTGGCAATCAAATGACTTGGCAATCAAATGACTTGGCAATCAGAACATATTTTAATTATTTATCAAATTTTTTTTCCAGTATTTATCATATATTAGTTTTTTATATATTTATGTAACTTTGACTGTGATTTATATTGTTATACATGAATTGCTTACCATGTAATACCTCATTGTTAGACCAATCTGTTTTATAAGAAGCTATTACATGGACATCTTTATCCTATAAAATTAACTGGGAAATAAGCAAGGACAGCTTTCTGGTGTCTTTTTCACATTGAGGTTGAAAAGTTTGTTTGCTAATTATTTGAATTAAGATTTATTATTATAAAAAAGGAATAATATTAAAGAAATAATTTATGGAAGCCATAGATTTGTTGGAAATTTACACATGGCCTGGGCCGTGATATTCGAATTTTATCCTGAGCGTTGACTTGCTGAAATCAGTAAATGTGCGAATAATGCAATATTATCCGAATTTGGAGGCATCACATAACGGAAAAACCTTCAGCTTTAGCGTTTTCATTCGTATGACGTCATGTTTTGAAATTACTTTAATGCACCAAAAGCATTAATGGAATTTCGCGGAATTTTATTTTATTTTGATTTTGTACATTTTTCCCACATTTTCCGAGCTCTAGTGCATCAATTCTTTTTGTTATGCATCAGAATAAGAATGAAGGTTCTGTTTTTTTTTCAATTGCAATTTTTAACACAGCGAAATCGGCATAACCTTTGCACAAAGGTTACGATACAATTGGATATACATTGGGAGGTATATTGTAACAGCCGTTATTATGCACATCTATGAGTCTGCGCTAAGTATAGATATATCGAGAAATTATCATGGTGTTGTTTACAAAACGAAAGAAGCACATCATATTAGAATTATTATTATTAAAGGAACAGTATACATTTTTACTCATGTTTGTTGTAAGTATAAATGAATTTTTTGGTTGTTTTTATACCTCCCACAAACAAAGTATATGTTTATGGTATGGGGGTATATAGGAATTACCCTGTCTGTCAATATGACTTGCATGGTCAACTTCTCCTAAATGACAAGATGGAAATTGTTTAAAGTTTACAATGTCGGACACTACCCCAGGATGTGTATTTTTGTCCAACATTCAAAAGGGGAGATAATCAAACTGACCTCAATATTGCAACAGTCTCTGGTAAGCTTAACAACAGCTAGACAGATATTGATAACAATTTACACAGTTGCAGAGTATTACCCATGAATGTAATCCCTGTCTTCCATTAAAAAGGAACTCTCAGAACTAGCTCCTAGAAAACTAAAATTGTTCTTATGTTAAAGGGGAGATAATCAGATTTAGTTACTTCAATTTTGCAACATGTGGCAATAACTTGAAAGCATAACTCCTCCTTTACAGTTGAATGGATATTAATGAAACTTTACTTTACCTAAGGATGTGCATAGAGGAATGTTATCCCTGTCCTACTTTTTACAGGGGAATCTGACCTACCTCCCAGAAAACTAAAATTGTTTTTGTTCTGTGAAAGTGGAGTTAATGGAATTTACTTACTTCAATACTGCAACATGTTGTCATAACTTGTAAGTGTAACTCATCTTTAACAGCTATATAATATTGATAAAACTTGACAAAGTTGTAGAACCTAATCTGAGAATTTGAATGTGGGAAAATTATCTGTCATGTTGAAAGGGGAGGTATTAATTTGCTTCAATATTGCAAATTGTGGTAATAACTTATAGGGACAAATCCTCCTAAACGGCTAGACAGATATTGATATAAAGATATGCATTAAGTGATATGATTATGTTCCCAAATTTCAAAGGAGAGATAATCTTACTTACTTCAAAGCTGCAATATGTTGTAAGAGTCTCTCATAAGCTAAACAACACCTAAACAGCTTGACAGATATTAATGAAAATGAACACAATATATTGTAGAATATATAGTACCTTACGAGGTGCATAAAAGAATGTTATCCTTGTCCTACATTGTTAAGAGGACCCTTTCTCCTAGCTCCTAGAAGACAAAATTTGTTTTAGCTTGGATTCCCATTTTGTAAATTTTTATAGACTGAGTCATTTTGTTTTAAGATACATTGATAATAGTTCAGGGAGAGAGTATCCTTTAGCGAGTTCATAAACATACAGTAGAAAAAACAAGTATGAAATATTGATAACTCAAATCAAACCAGAAGAAAAGTCAATGTATGTTTTCATTAAACTTAATTCTGGTTCAAATTGATAGAAATAAAGTTATTTTAAAGACAACCTTAATATTTTTTTTAATAACATATTTTTCATGTTAAGATTGGAAAGTTAATGTTTAAGCTGTAGGTGCTAGCATTATTCTTTTTATTGTGTAATAAGTTTAATAGTTATGAACTATGATTGTTGCATTAAAATTTTGTATGATTTCAGACTTGATTTATTTATTTAGACAAAAATGAATAAATAACTATGCAGAAAACCTGACCCAGAAAATGTCAGTACCGGTATATATCCGAGGAAGAAAACACCAAAACGGTAAGTCAAAGAAAAACTGACAATTCAATGGCAAAAAACAAAGAACAATATATGAAAAAGACAAACAACAGTCCACAAAGCACTTAATGGAAAACTAAAGACTGATCAATGGCCAAAATTAACTACAGGATTCTAAGAGCCTGAATTCTTCACTTGGCAAAAAAATTGCAATTTAATATTTTTTTTTCACTTTTTTTGTAAACTATTAATGCTTTTCGATTATATTTTTAGCCACAACGTTGATTGATTAATTGATTGGCAATAACAAAAAAGTAATTTGAAAAAGCTTACGAAGGCAGACAACAACAATGGACACCAAATGATGGCGACATAACTCACCTGGCCCTACGGGCTATGAAAGCAAAAAATGATAAAACAAGAATGTTTCCATAGTACACGGATGCCCCACTCGCACTATCATTTTCTATGTTCAGTGGACCATGAAATTGGGGTCAAAACTCTTATTTGGCATTTAAATTAGAAAGATCATATCATAGGGAACATGTGTACTAAGTTTCAAGTTGATTGGACTTCAACTTCATCAAAAACTACCTTGACCAAAAACATTAACCTGAAGCGGGACAGACGGACAAACAGACGGACATACAGTATGACGGACAAACGAAAGGACGCACTGACCAAAAAACATAATGCTCCTCTACTATCGTAGGTGGGGCATAAAAATGAAGAAAAGACAAAAAACCAGTCCACAAAGCACTACACAGAAAGTAAAAGATTGAACAACGAAAATGGAAACAAAAAACTAGGGAAAAGTTGGATGCTCTATAAGCAGTTCCTGCTACACAATGTTAAAAAATGTTGATATCATATCAGGTAATTAAGCATCATATAATTACAGATTGGTTGATGTTTATTGTATAATCCTTAGACATCATTAATACTGAAACAAGAGTGCACACGCTGAAATGTCTCACCTACTATACAGACCATTGATTTTATGTTGATAGTCCTACATATTAAGTTTTACTACAAGTATCACATTAACATTTATGATCCAAGAAAATGAGGTCAAGGTCAGACAAACCAAGCCAGAAATACATGTACACCTTTAATACAATCATTATATACACAGAATATAGATGACCTATTGCTTATAGTATAAAAGAAACAGACCAAACCATGGAAATTCTATATTGACCAATGAACCATGAAAATGAAGTCAAGGTCAGATGAACCCTGCCAGACAGACATGTACACCTTAAAATCATTCCATGCATCAAATATAGTTGACCTATTGCTTATAGTATCTAAGAAACAAAGTTAACCAGGAAAACTGAACATTGACCAATGAACCATGAAAATGAGGTGAAGGTCAGACAGACATATACACCTTACAATCATTTCATACACCAAATATAGTTGATCTATTGCTTAAAGTTTAAGAAAAACAGACCAAAATACAAAAACTTAACATAAAGCAATGAACCATGAAAATGAGGTCAAGGTAAAATAAAACCTGCCAGACTGACATGTACATCGTAAAATATTTCCATACACCAAATATAGTTGATCTTTTGCATACAGTATTAGAAAAACAAACCAAAACACAAAAACTTAACATTGAGCAGTGAACTGTGAAAATGAGGTCAAGGTAAAATAAAACCTGCCAGACTGACATGTACATCATAAAATATTTCCATACACCAAATATAGTTGACCTACTGCATTCAGTATTAGAAAAACAGACCAAAACACAAAAACTTAACATTGAGCAATGAACCATGAAAATGAGGTCATGGTCAAATAAAACCTGCCAGACTGACATGAACATCGTAAAATATTTCCATACACCAAATATAGTTAACCTATTGCATACAGTATTAGAAAAACAGACCAAAACACAAAAACTAAACTATTGCCACTGAACCATGAAAATGGGGTCAAGGTCAGATGACACCTGCCAGTTGGACATGTACACCTTACAATCATTACATACACCAAATATAGTAGACCTATTGCTTATAGTATCTGAGATATGGACTTGACCACGAAAACTTAACCTTGTTCACTGATTTATGAAATGAGGTCGAGGTCAAGTGAAAACTGTCTGACAGGCATGAGGACCTTGCAAGGTACGCACATACCAAATATAGTTATCCTATTACATTGTACTCATAAGAGAGAAATTAATATTACAAAAAATCTGAACTTTTTTTTCAAGTAGTCACTGAACCATGAAAATGAGGTCAAGGACAATGGACATATGACAAACAGAAACTTCATATCATAAGGCATCTATATACAACGTATGAAGCATCCAGCTCTCCTACCTTCTGAAATATTGAGCTTTTAAGAAGTTAGTTAATGCTGCCGACACCGGATCACTATCTCTATGTCGAGCTTTCTGCGATAAAAGTCCCAGGCATGACAAAAATCATCTAACACAACTTGCTCAAATGTGAAAAGTGACAAGAAACAACCTAAATATTTTTTTAAATAAAGAACAAAATACAATAATGAAAACTAGAGGAACATAAATCCCTTTAAAACAAAAGTAAGGGTAAACCCTGCTCCACTAGTGGCACCCATATTGTTCCTCAGTGGCCATTGGCAAGGGCAAGTGAATATTCAGTGATGTCATTGTGGGTCAAAACAATCATCAACATAAGACAAGTGTATATGTCAAGCTCCAAGTCTAGAAAAGTTGTAAATATTTAAGTTACTATCAAAGATATGTCATCAACTACAAATCTCCAATAGAACACAGGAGTGCACATGCTGAAAATTCTTGTCTGCTTTATTTATCATTATTGAATTTAGGAAAATCTGTAATATGATTGATTTCATAATCAATGTAATTGAGGTCGTGGTCAGATGAACACTGTCAGACAGAAATGTACACCTCTCATGTATACTATACACCAAATATAGTTAGTATATTGCTTATAGTATCTGAGGAACAGACCTAAATGCAAAAATTGAACATTGACCAATGAACCATAAAAATGAGGTCAAGGTCAGATGAACCCTGCCAGACAACATGTATACCAAGCAATCATTCCATACACCAAATATAGTTGACCTTTTGCTTACAGTATCTGAGACTTAACCATGAAAACTTAAGTCTTGACATTGACTAATGAACCATGAAAATGAGGTCAAGGTCAGATAAACCCTACCAGATAGATATGTACACCTCACAATCATTCCATACATAAAATTATAGTTAGAGAAAGTGATACAGACTTGACCAAGAAGCTTAACCTTGATCATTGATCCATTAAATGAGGGTGAGGTAAGGTGAACTCTGTCTGACATACATGTAAACTTTGTAAGAATCCCATATACCAAATATAGTTATCCTATTGGTCATAATAAGTGAGTGATTGACATGACAAAAACAAAACAAAAACAAAACATTTCAAGCATTGATTATCCATGAAAATCAGGTCAAGAGCAATGGACATATGACAGACAGAAATTTTGTAACATAAGGTATCTGCATACAGGGTATGGATCATACAGGTCTTCTACCTTCTGTTATATAAAACTTCATACAAAGAGTTTACGATGTCACCACCGCTGCTGCCAGATTGTTATCTCTTTGTCTCACCATCAAAATTCGCAGGCGAGACAAAAAAATACCATTGGAATACATTGTATATCAAAAGACAACCACTGATGAAGTTCTTGACCTTAATTTAACTATGTAAACTTATTACAAAAAACACTTATACATGATCAGCTTTTAATAACTTCACTTGTAACTTGTGCATAACAACAGTTATCTAGAACCACAGGTACTTGAATGTCTGTATTATTCCCTTCTTCTTTACTTGTGATGTTTTCTTCTTGTTTATCACCATTTGTACACTCATCTGTCTTGTTTACTTCAATAGGTTGAGATGAGTTCACTTTGTCAGCTATACTTTTGATGAACTTTGCCTGAACAAATATACGTGGTACACACAGTCCTTCCTTCTTATTCACAGTCTCTCTTTGAATATATTCACAATTTGCACAATTATATCCAGCTGATTCCATAAGTAATGTTAATTCATCTACATTAAAACCAAGAATATGACATTAGTACTATGCATAAGTCATATATACTTTAAGTCATATGGAATGATAGCATACAAAACACTATTACCCTTAAAATATCACCTATCATGTTGTTTCATGATACTATAGGTAAATTGCATGATTGATTATCAACAAGATATAGGACCCACTGGTTTATTGATAATAATTAAAAGTCTTAAAAGTTCAAGACCAAACAACACATATTAATTTTAAAATAGACTATATTGTGTTATCATAACAGAAAACCCAAATATTTACTTGTAGAGTAATTTCGAATCTCAACTAAACACCAAAAAAAAATGAAAATTAAGTCATATGTAACGTGACGGTACCCAAATTGCACCTATTTTGACAGTTTTTTCACCTACGTCTATTTATGATACAGACAAAAGTTTCCATTCTGTGTTTATTTTGTAGATGTGTCATTATTTATTATATGGTTCCACCAATTTAATTTTGAATCCATATTGAATCATAGAAAAATGGGTTTGAACCGACCTCCAAACGATCCTTGATTCTGTAACGAGGAGTACCCAAATTGCATCCATGCTTAAATTCACATCCTTAAAAATCGAATAACAGATATTTTGTTTTATTACTTCAAATATTTAGATTTGATTTGATTTTTGGTGTTTTAACGCCTTTTAAGCACCACTTTTGGGCTATTTCGTGGCGGCCAGTTTTTATTGGTGGAGGAAGCCGGAGTGCCCGGAGAAAACCACCGACCTTAGATAGGAAAACTGACAATCCTAGTCAATTAAGATAAGCACGAGCGGGGTTTCGAACTCACAACCTCAGTGTTGACTGGCTAGTGATTACAGTAGTAACTACTGAGACCACTCGGCCACCGAGGCCCCTCAAATATTTAGACAATTTGTCATTAGTCCACGCTTACTATTCATTTTTTAAGAAATTGATGCTTGTAACATATTTAATTTGTTCATTTTTAAAAGATGACTTTTTGTGAACGTCGCATGGCGACGTTTTCGTAGATTTAATTTTTCCAGTGAATGCTTCATCTGTTGATATATACTGTGAACGTTTTGAGTATATCTAAATATATTTAACTTTGTTGAAAGACAAGTATAATGTCAAATCATAAAAATACAAATTTTTTAGCCTCAAAGATTTCCGCAGCGATTTTTGTTGAATAGGTGCAATTTGGGTACTCAGTGTAATTTGGGTACTGTGACGTTACATCTAAAAATCATTCTATATGCAAAACATAAATGGCAATTTCAAGTTTATGAAATACTAGCCTATGCATGTATTTTTTTTTATTAATATCTAGTTAACATCTGAAGATGTCTCTGATGTGTTAATTATTGGAACCCTAAAAGTGGTCTTCGTCATAACTTTTGACTATTCCTACCACACACTAACAACAATACAAAACTACCATAACTTGTATGTACATTTACTCCACACTTACCTGTTTTGAAATAGTAAGCCCTTGTGCCATCTTGGCGTACATAAAAGTTCTCACATAACTTGTGGCCTGGACCAAATCTTAACATGGCATGGTCGTATAAACCATAATCTCTAAACAAAATACAACCTCCTGGTTTTAATATCTGCAATAACAATTGCATCTCTTAAAGAAGAAAATATTTTCACGGTAAAATAATAACACTTAATGAGGTTTATTTGATTTATTGAATGAATACCATGACTATAACTACTATGTTAGACATTATCTACATGCTATTAATTGACTTAGCTTTACACCACAAATCATGAAATGATTCTTTAATGGTACATTTATCTCACAGTCTCAAATCCTGTAGTGCTGCAACAATTTTATATGGGTCTAAACTTTTTCAGAAAAACTGTGACCAATTTTGTTTCAGTCTTACCATATTCATATCAAGACCTTTACGTATCAAGACCTTTACGTATCAAGACCTTTACATATCAAGACCTTTATGTATCAAGACCTTTAAACTCTTTATATGAAAATTACCTTTGAAATATTCTTAAGAGCTGTCACCATTTTATCTGGATGAATGGCTGACAAAACAAATATCATGGACACAGCATCAACAGTGTCTGGTGGTATTTCTTTACTCAGATCATCACATGTAATATCACACTGAAAGGCATGGCATCGATCAGGATTATACAAACTATTTTCCTATAAAAAAATGTACATGAATTTGAAAATGTACCGGTAAAATACTCTGCTAAATAATCTTTTTTAATGTTTTTGATGTAGGAAAGAGACGTCACTCACTCACTTTTGGTTCCGACATACAGACTAAATGAATATAAACACAAGTCCCTAACAATAAATACTGTGTCATAAACCCTAAATGTTACATAACTGTGTTACCATGGTTACTATAACAAAACAATGTCATTATCGTCTGGATATCTAAGACTATACTTCTATAAGATGTAAAATGATATACATTGAATGCAGTGCATCTCTTCAAGCCCCTTACTTAAAACAAATCATATTGAATATAGTACCTATCATCATACCCCTATCTAGTCCTTATGTAAAACTAATTCCACCATTCTGTTTTATATATCATAAGCTAATGGAGACAATTAATACTTTCTCCTTTCTAGAAATCAATAATAATACATAGACCATGAAACTTATTGCTTTTTATTTATATCAAATTTCACTTGCTAAAAAATTATCAGCTCGAAAACGATGTCTAACCATAAAACGATGTCTAACCATAAAGGTGTATAGTTCTTTCAATAATTTTGTATTTCCAAGGTACTTCAACAACTGTTTAAGTTACAATATTTCAAATACATATACATGTTGTACTACAATATCCATAAGGAATATGAATTTTGATTTTTTTGTGCTAAAGTTAGTGAAGTTCACTGTATGCTGATGCCGTATACGTAATTATTGAGGACCCATGATCATTCTTGCGGATCTGATTTTTGTGGATTCAGTTGTTAAACATACATAAAAGGAGAACCAAATTTTAATGCTAAACAAAAAACATATTCCCCATTGGCATGTACACAGAAATTTTTTCAAACCAGGATATCAAGAAACCACCATTTAATAACACAAATTTTGCTCAAGCCACAAAAACTGGTACCCATAAAAATGGATGAATCCATTGTATCTACTTATTCTGTTTCAATGAAGCTTTTCTAACGTTAAGGAGAAAACTCAACAGCAAACCTGACCTACCTTGACAAACTGCACAGCTCTTATAGAAAAATCACAGGCATAAAAGTATAACTTTTTAAATTCTTTCAATAAAGGGAAAAGAAAATTGCCCACTCCACATCCAACCTCCAGAATAGTTTTGCAGTCTTTGGTCTGTAAATAAAAAAAAAGATATCACTACTTTTGTAAATCAAAAGATAGATTCAACTACTACAAGCGCTATTTAAAATATACAGATATGAATAAAATATCTATACTTTCATTTATACAGACTAGAGAATACAGCTGCCTACCTGCTCATCTTCTTCATAAAACAAGTCACTAAATTCACGTTTTGTCCAGTGTCTATCTTTGAAAAACTTTGTCGTATTCCTTTTATAAAACAAATCCCAGTTTTTCTGTGCTTCATTTTCTAACTTATTCTGTTTAAATTCGGATATAAAATTCTTGTCCTTTTCTAATTTAAATTTTTCTTCCTCTGTCAAATTCCTTGGGCATACTGAAGATATTTGAAATGGAAAAGGTTTCTTATTGGATTCATCACACATGTTGCTGGATTAAACTTCAATGGAAACCTGAAAAAAACCAGATACATAACATTTGTATCAAAGGATGTCTGGATTGTAGTAATTTGTCAATACTGTATTACTGAACATTTTCATATAGTTCACTTCTTTGTAATGCTGGTCATCTAGCTTCTCTATCATTTACAATAAAAGTGAATACATAAAGTTGTCTCATTGGCACTCATACCACATTTTCTTATATCTACATAAACTTAAATTTATCAATGATCCATAAAACATTTGTGAAATATTACGTCAAGGTTTTATGAATACTTTCAGACAGACACTCTAAAGAGTTGGATTATTATTACTGAAAATATATAAAATAAAATTACTTTACATGTTTCAAGAAACTCAGTATTGACCGATGAACCATGATGATAAGATCAAGGTAAAATGTTCACCTTATAATTAAGTTTCCAAACCATGAAACAGTTATAAGTTAAATGTTATAATGTCATTGTTAACAAGTAGTCTCTGAATACTTTGTTTGTTGAAGCAAAATATTAATATGAGAATGTATTTATTTGACATGTATATAATGTACTTTTAACTTTAGACTTATTTATAGAATCCCTTTAGCTAGTTGGGTTATCCTCTTGACATAAGGATTATTTACTTATTTATCTTTAATCATTATAAAGCTGTATCATATCCCTTGTAATGCCTAAATTTGTGTATCTGTGTAACAACCTCCCAAATGAGGGATATATCCTTTAAATGAGGGACTGTCCCTCAGACAAGGGGTTATTTTGCTGTTGTCATGGTTGTAGAAAAGAAAAAGGATAACTACCGGGTAAGCTTTTTTAACTGAAAAGGGGAAAATTCATTATATTTGGAACAACTTTTCTGAAAGAGGGGTCCTCTTATTTAAAAAAAAAAAGAAGATTAAAGTCCATGAATATTCCAAAATTCTACACCTTATCGCTATTTATTCCAATCCGGATAAGTTCTAAAATTATCTTTTTAATCCAATTGAAGCTATTTGGGGCCCTGTTTAAACAATGTATTATGCATAAAACTTTTTAAAGAGAAATGTCTAAACCATCGTAAACACTTCAAACAAAGCATTTTTAATACTTTAATTTGTATTTAAAAAAAGTGAATCATAATCTATCAAAGTTTCAAAATGTTTTGCTAAGTTCTAAACTTTTTCCTCCCTTAGCTCGTTACTGATGATTTTTGTATTTGCAACACTTGACCCAAACAGGAAGTTGTCTAAGTGACCTTTTTCAGGATTGGACTAAATAGCGATAAGGTGTATATAATACCAGATAGACATGATATTGTTCTATTGGCAAAGTTTCTGCAAATAATATAAACATGTACCCTTTTGTACTTAGAGGTGGTTTAAAAAACAATTGTATCCCTTGAATTCTATCCCTCATAAAAGGGATAGTCATTACATTTAGGGGTTATCCCTCATTTAAGGGGTTGTTCCCAACCTGACTAACATCATAAAGTAAGTAAAATATAAAGTAAAGTAATCTTTATTTAAAGTCGGGTTGCATATATATCCCCGAGGAACCAGTAATGACGCACCTATGGTTGTTTTTGTCTCTGCATTTAGTCTACCATTTAAAAGAATTAGAAAAACGGAATGGAATAAAAGATTGATAACTTGTTAATATATTTCAATCATTAAACAGTTGATATTTGAAACAGTAATAACAATAAAAATCATGTTTGCTAACATTACAAACTGACTGCCAACTAATGATGGGTACCAGTAATGACGCACTGTAAACAAACAAGTCAAAACCACTTGCACGTAATTGATAATCGAAAAATTGCTTCAATCCGGATTCTTTAAAGTTAAAACTGTTCAAAAAGATTCAATTTTATTAACAACTTTTGACATTTTCATTTACTTTAATGATCATGGTAATTGTAACACCAAATTTATAAACAATTTAATTGTAACCTATATTTTGATATATAATTGTTCAAAATTTATGAAAGTGATATACATATTCCATATATTTGAAAATAAAAAGTAATTGCATTCATAAAACAACATTGACAATAATACATTTATCAATGTATACTTCATACATTGAATGAAAAAAAATCGATAAACCATAGAAAATTATATAAGCGACGATCATTTGTTCTACAGTGATTCCCGCTTAAATGTAAAGCCATATCACATGACAGTCACGTGATTTGAAAAACAAAAAATGGGGAAGCATACGGTTACATACTTTGCTTGACCAAAGTGGATATAGGACTGATAATCTTTCGGGGAAGGGTATAATTTTTTTGACCTTAATAAAATGGCGGAAATTGCATTGTCTTTAATATTTTATGCAATAATAACATTTCTGGGCAGAGTTTTAGGCATCTTTGTTGTAGTCAGATGACCTTCAACTTCATGTTATGAACAGCAAATGTTGATGGCGTCACGGCTTTTGTCTAGAAATATAAAACCGTTAACTAAATCGGTGCGTCATTTCTGGTCCGCGTCAAAACAGGTACCAAGACGATATATACATAATAACGAGGAACATGAGCTTTTTAACCGACTGATATTAAATAACAAAACATACATGTAATAACATCAGACACATATACAACACAAATATACAGACAGCATATACGTGTATTAATACATAGATAGCTCATGTACTTATCTTATCCGGGATATGTGTAAATACACCTTATCGCTATTTGTCCGCCATTACTGGACATCACACAAGTTCCCGTAAAATTTTGACGTCATAATAGAAAATGTCTGACGCCACAATGTAAAAGTGATTGTTGTATGACGTCAAAAGTTCGAGCGGGACAGATTCTCGGGTCAAGCGGGAATAGCGATAAGGTGTATTCAAAAATAAAGAAAAAGTACTCATGGAAAATGGTAAATGATTCATTCTTACGATCTTTGATGGATTCCTTCACAGTTTAGTTATAATCTATATACAGAAAGGTAGAATGACACGATATTATAACTGTATAATTTGACTCATAAAGGCCCGTTTTTTATAGAGGCAACTTACCACTTATACCATATTCACCAACATGGTAAATGCTAAAATAAATATTCAATTTCGAGAATAGCCATATATTTGAACAGTCATTTGTAAGACTTTTCATTTAATTGAAGAAAATTAAGTTGGGCCTATTTCATAAAAAAACGACATTTTTAATTAAAAAAAAAATGTAGGTTATTTTTTGATTGACTAAAAAAAATTAAACTTTTAAAAAAGGTGCGATATGTTAATATATCAAAAAATAAAACAACAAGAATACCGAACTCCAAGGAAAATTCAAAACGGAAAGTCCCTTTAGAATTGTCAAAATCAAGTTTTTATATGTATTTTGTATTATACTGTAGCAAACAAAAGTACATCAGGATAATCCCATTTTCTCGTTATTTTCTTAAAGCATTTTGTAAGAGATATCTGTCCAATGATATTCTAATATGTAGTTGTCTTTCTATTCACATTATAATGTCTTGTATCTGTATAATCCTTACAACATATGTCATTTTTTACATCATTATGCTTGAAAACAAGCTCGGTAACCTATAGGTTTTATTATATTTTTATTAGATTAAAAAAATAGAATGTTATAAACTACATTTCGGAAAAGAGCTAGTAGAACAACTAAAAAAGACATTACTGCAATTAACAGAAAGTGCCGTGGAGTGTATGTTAACAGAGACATATAATACATGTATTATATGTCTCTGATGTTAAAAGTGGTACGTAATACAGCTACCAAAACAAAAATCATAGTTATATCTAAAATAGTACATGCAAGTTGTAGAAAATTCGTTTTTCATCCTGTCTTGGGCAAGATTATTTATTTTCAGTTCTAACGAAGCCAGCATATTCATTTCCGAAGCCCCCGCTCTCGTAAATAAAACGGTCGTTCCTAACTATGATCTACCCTTAGCCCTGTATATTTTGATATCTTAAGCAATGGTGTGTTTTGTGGGAAAACATAAAGTCCAATCCTGCAAAATTTCGGGACATTTCAGTTGCCAGTACAAAAACTCATAACATAAATTTGTGTTTAGTTAGGATATTATCAATATTTCATGTGATGATGAAAGTAATTAGGTGTCCCCATAGACTTTAAACTGAACTTTAATATACATATATATATATATATATATATATATCAAATATCTGTTAAAAGAATGCAAGGCAATTTAATATACTGAAGCAGATAGGCCAGTACATTTTTTTTGTATATTGAACCGTCTGTGAAAACTTACAATTTATCATTCTTTTATTGCACCCCCGGAATTTTAGTTACTGTCTGCTTACATGGTATTTATAGCTCACCTGGTCAAAGGGTTAGTGTGAGCTTTTGTCATCACTTGGCGTCCGTCGTCTGTCGTCGTCGTCATCGTCCGTCATCTGTCGTCGTTGTCGTCATCCGTCGTCCGTTAACTTTTATAAAGATTATCCCCTCTGAATCTACAAATTTGGCCACAATTATCAAAGGGGTATCATGGCCGACATGGCTAAAAATATAACAAAGGGGTGAAATGCATGTTTGGTCTATTATCTTGGAAACTGAAAGAAAAAATCTGATAGGGGCAGAAATGTTCAGAATGATGAGATCTATACATAATGTCTATTGACATCAAAACTGTCAGATGACTTCTTATAGGATTTATTTCTCTTAAACGACGAATATTACCCATTTTTTTCATTGTTTGCTTATTATCTCGAAAAATATAATAGATAGACAAAAACTTTAAATGGCAAATATGATCAGCAAAACAATATCTAAAAATAAGTAAAATCATTGAAATCGTCATTCGACACCTTATAGAGGTTTTTGCCCTTAAAGAAGATTTTTCCATTATTTTTTTTTTTGCATTTTTGCCTATTATCTTTAAAACTATAATAGATACATGTAGATAGATACTTTAAAAAGCTAAAATGATCAGCAAGACAAGATTTACAAATAAGCCATAATTGCTGAAATCTTCAGTCAATTTGTTATCAAAGTTATTGCCCTTTAATGATAATTTTTATCGTTTTTTTTGCAGTGTTTGCCTATTATCTTGAAAATTGAAATAGATATATAGAAACTTTAAAAAAGAAAAATGATCAGCAGGATGAGATCTAGAAATTTTACAACATGCCTGAAATTTTCAATTAACTCTGAATAGAGTTGTTCCCCTTTAATGATGATTTTTACTAAAAAATTGCCATTATTGAAGATACAGGTGCGCGACACAGGTTCTTTAGAGCCTTTAATTTGTGGGAACAAAATATTAAGAAAATTGAGAAAACACTTCGTTTTGTTCGTAATGATTGGAAACCTCTTACGAAACAAGAGTTTAAAATGAGCATGAATCATTCATTGGTATACATATGCGCGGCATTTTGATATTTATTTTTACTTTTAATGCAATCAGCTATGTTTGCTTATTTGTAAATCTTATTTTGTGGCATTTTGTAGAACTTGCATTGATGATCATTTTTATTGTTTACACAATGGGGCAGCACGTATAAACTACTTTATTATAAGATCCCATGAATAAGAGCAAGAACACATCAATTATTAAAGTGACAATAATTAAAAATAAAACATGACTGAACATCGGGGAAAAAGAAAAAAAAAAGGTCCATGCATCTAACGCCTGTTGTTTCAAGTCGACAGGATAAAGACGCTTTTAATTGACTCTAGCAGAGGCAATGCAACAGATACACACAAATTTGGACAATATGGACAAAGACAAAGGGCTTCAGTAAGTAACTTGTGTCGATTTGGTTCAGAGAATGAGCTGTGTGTCGGCCTGCGAAGGAATTTAGAATTTATCCGAAAAATACGTACTATGGTCTAAATACTCAAATGATCCGGCCCGTTGATAACCAAACGAGTATATATAGGGGGAGGGTTGAGATCTCATAAACATGTTTAACCCCGCCGCATTTTTGCGCCTGTCCCAAGTCAGGAGCCTCTAACCTTTGTTAGTCTTGTATTATTTTTAATTTCAGTTTCTTGTGTACAATTTGGAGTTTAGTATGGCGTTCATTATCACTGAACTAGTATATATATTTGTTTAGGGGCCAGCTGAAGGACGCCTCCGGGTGCGGGAATTTCTCGCTGCATTGGATGCCTGTTGGTGACCTTCTGCTGTTGTCTGTTCTATGGTCGGGTTGTTGTCTCTTTGACACATTCCCCATTTCCATTCTCAATTTTATCAAATGGTCCGACCATACGCGTATGGTCGGACCACATGAGTATACGCATATGGCCATGACCATACGCTTATGGTCCAAATACTCATATGTTCCGGAACAGGTACATTTATAAACAAACTGTATAATATAAGTACATTTGCACAGAGACATATAATACAATTGTATTATATGTCTCTGGTTTGTAGTTACAATCACTGCAAACAATGAGCATGTAAACGTTTTGAAATCGAGCGCTACTTTTGAAAAACAAGAAATAAATGGTATATTCAAATGCTTAGATCTGACTAAGGGTGTCCTGTATGACCAATATTCCTCACAATCAGTTAAGTCAGTTTATCAAAAATAAATATGCTAATCCCACCAAACCATCAACGGTTGACAAACATTGGAATGAAAGATGCAACAAGTTAGGTATACATTGCATTTCTATTTTGACTGAGTTTTTCGATTCAGTGAAAACCGATTATTTGAGACCAAGGATGGTTGCCTCAACTTTATACTTCCATACCATTTTCATGAGAATCCTATCATACATTGTCAACGTATATTAGAAACACATTATGGAATTTGTCAGACAGATAAAGATTCATATAAGGCAATACTTATACTAGTGGATACAAATTTGAAGAAGTCAAGATGAGTACTTTATATCTTGATGGGGTTGGATTTTATGTAGAAAACGGGATTTTTTCCACAAACTTCAATGTCAATTATGAATACTTATATAATACCAATAATGATATATGGATTGGAAATAGTAACTTTCCCTTTATCCCAACAGCCAAATGTCTAGAAACTTAAAACATCTAGTTTAAGAAAATCAGTCTGAAACCACAGGCACTTGTCTCTGAAAAAAAATTATTACCTTTATACTTTAATATAACATATTAAAGTTTATGGGTACATTTTTTTCAGAGACAAGTGCCTGTGAATACAGACTGATTTTCATAACAACATGAACACTTTATGAAATTCCTTTTTTTTTATTGATTTCAACGATGAACAAATAAATTAACTGTACCACCAAGAATCTAGGACTAATATATTTCTATTGATCCCAGCGTATATGATTCACGGTTTTATAAAACCGAGATCAGAAATATAAATTTGTTTTAGCAATTCTTCATATTCCTACATCCGGTAGTATTAGACGCAAGTATTCACGGATAAAACAAAACTTTTTTGTAAAGTTTTAAAAGATGTCGTAGAATTTGTTAATAATACAGATCATGGGCGACAAAGGTCTCCAAGTCGATAATGAAGTGCATGAATTGAAATTAGGTTCCAGCTTTGATCCTAAATCAAAAGTAGCTTTTCATTCAATCCGATGTGAGTACGATGCCATATGTTATAATTTTTTCGTACTGAGATTACTATAACAAATCTGTGAAATACAATGTAGATGTATATAAGCTACAATAAATCGAGACAATATGGGGAATTCACACGACTTACCTTATCCATTGAATTAATATTTCCCTTGTCAGAAAATTTGAAGAATAATTCACATCAGCCAAGAAAATAATAATAATAAATTAATAATAATAATAATCAAAATTAACGAATATACACCAAATATTATGACATAAAAGAAGAAATCATTATTTTTTTTCAGACTTTTTTTTTAATATGATAATTAGTAATACATGTATGTAATAATACCTGACTCTGTTTGGTTTAAAGCAGCTACCATGGCTACAATTATTATTCATCACCTGCTATGGATAAATACAAAACTGAAGTACTTAGCTATACATACTAAACTACACTATTTTATTGCAGATGAAGTCCTTGATAAGTCACAGTTTTGATACAATATTGCAAGCGACCAATCTCTGTGTTATAGTAATCTCAGTTTTGTAACAATATCTGTTAATCATTTGAATATTTTAAAACTTGTATTTATGAAAAAGATCGCCATGGTATCTTTTTTATCATAATTTTGATGGACACAGTTAGCCTATATCCAATTTCCTATTGGAAATGGTTATTCATTAAAAATTTATACTTGCCAGAATATATGTTGAATGTGGGCAGTATGCTTTCGGTACATTTTGGCTACAGTACCAGTTCCACCATAGTTGTTTCAACCATAGTCTATCTGTCACTCTACATTGTTCCAGCTAGGATTTCAAAAGGGCAAGGAGTCAATCATAAAAAGGGCACTTTAGCACACTGATTAATAATTCAAAAAGGGCATGTCAAACATTGTCTTTTGTTATATAATTGATCATGTTGATGACTTTTAATCACTTCTTCAAATTTTGTCAACTTGGATTTTAATTACCGTAAATTAGCCAGTGCTAATCATCCATTTCAAATAGTTGGTCAATCAGCTGTTTCCTTAATCGTAAAGGTAAATATTGATTACAATGCGTGTGCAATGTTTACATAGAAGTTTTATCGATAAATTGATGGAATCATAAAAGGGCACAGGGCATCAGTCGGGAAAGGGCAAGCGGACTGCCCTGTGAAAACGATCAAGATGGAACACTGCTCTATTTCACAATGTTCTTACATGAATATATGCATTATATGTTTAGACAGAAGTTTGTTCTGAAAAGGAATATTATTTAACAAATAGTCATTTCGTCATAATTTGTGCATCTGCTGGGACACCAGACTTTCTTATGTTACAGTATACTTACAAGTTGATAACGTTTCCCTTTCACTTTGGGGATTGATTTACATATTTTTGACAATAGACAAATGATAGAGAATAGAAAATAAACAATATGTCATTTGTTTACCAAAATAGTAGACCCATTTGAATTACTAAAATCAGTTATTTAATCCATAACGAACAAATTAGCAATGACCCGACAATGAAATCAGAGCCTAATGGCGAGTGTCAATTCCCAGCAATATAATAATATTATGTCTTCAGATATAAAAAAAATGGTGATTAACAAGTATGGTCAATTATCATATCTTGTTTGGTATATTTTTTTAAAACTTTAATTTTCGGAAAGATTGGAACTATTGTTCCAAGTCTTTTCTAAGGCACCAGCCTCCCAAACAAGAAGTAGCACAGGTTAGCTTCTAAATCTACAAAATGTATACACACTGAAATATAGTTCCCTATATTTCTCATGTCTGTGTACATATGCACTTATGAACTGTGAAAAATTTGGGTCATATCTTTGTAGCAGTTCATTCAAGTATGTATGTCTTTAAGTTTTGTCAATATGCAGGCTAGTTTTGTCAATTTGCAGGCTATTTTTGTCATTTTAAATTGGTGAGTAATGATAGTACCAGTATGATTGACAAGTGCCATGATCACCAAACAATCAGAAACAAGGTGGGGTCTTAATAAAAATGTCCCACCTCCTTAAATGCCAATCATATTGACCAAATTACTAATCAGTCTCAGTCTTACATAATTAAACAGACCCTTCATTATACATCCCTTTACACAAATACTTGACCTCAATATTGAATACACAAATGTATGTATTAGATGTTTAATATATAGAAATGATAGATTTATTCATTACCTATTACTTTTGATCTACACTAAGTAAAGTGATTCTATAAATTATGTCTGATAGATAAATGATTAAGGAGATCTTTTTTTCAAAAGGAAAGACAAAATATGAAATCTACATATACATGATTTAAAAAAAGGTATTCAAGTGTTGAATACAGAAAGTGTATTTTTGCAATTAACATTGAATCCCCATTTAAAAAAAATAAGTTTTTAAATTTGTTTATGTTGAAAAAGTACATTTTCATTGCCCTTTTCTGGAAAATATAAAATTGAATTAAAATACACTCTGCAACTTTTAATCTTCAGTGTCATATAATCATGATGATTGTTTTCAAAATCAATAGGCAATTCTTAGAGGAGAAAAATAGTACACAACCTACGTTTCAACAACTACAAATTGCCCCCAAAACAACCTTTTTAGATTAATTTTTGGAGACAATAAAGATCTTAGATTTAAGTCTATCTGTTGGTCCCAATTGTCCTACAAGGATAATTGATACACTTTATTAAAAGAATCTTTATTTAGTAATTTCTTTTTTCTCTAAAGATAAAATCAAAATTAAAGGTGAAACATGTAATAGGGAACATTATATTTGGTTAAGATATGAAATTGCAATTTAAACGAAATTGTAGAGCAAATTAAGGGACCCGCTATCATTGATTGACATTTATCTCATTTTATCAACTGAAAAAGTGCTTATCCTTCTAAAGACCTGCTGTTAATGCAATTGTCTACAATAGTGCTATATATTAATTGGTTTTTTTTGTCCATACCATACCTAAATATGATTTGAAATAATTCAAACCACTCTTCCAATCTTTCCATGAGTGATTTCCATCACTTTGATTATTAATATAGATAATCCTCTTTTATGAATATTCTCAAAACATACATACCTTTATATAAATTTTTAACAAAGTAAAAATCATTGATTTTATGTTGAAAATGTATTTTGCATTTGTTTCTGTATGTCTGTTTGTTATAACAATTAATTTTCCCTCCATTTATACAAAATGGCTGAATCGTCTTGCATCGGATAGCACACAAAATGTATATTGAAGAAGAATATGTTTATTTAAGACCAAATTACATATGTACAAATGTATATTAGCAGCTTTTATGCACCAAGTTTGACTTCTTCCACTATATACCTTATTGATATTTGTCTGTCATTTCTACAGAAATTCCCATAAAATTTTGATGTGACAAGAGAAAATGTCCAAAACAACAGAACAAAAGTAATTATTGTATGAAGTCAAAAGTTCAAGGGTCACAAATTTTCGATTCAAGTGTATCAGATTTCCAAAGAATCCCTACATGTAACTATTCTTTGACATATATTTTCAACACACTTTTCTGAAAAGAAACTACTGAACAGAATGACTTTATATTTAGCCAGCAACATTGAGAAAAACCCACAGTGTATAGTCGGCTATAAAAGGCCCCGACTGGCCCGACATGAAAAATATGAAACAATTCAATTGAAAAAACTAACGGCCTAATTTATAATAAAACAATTTACGAAAAACAAATATGACAGACATGAACCAACAACACCCACTGAACTACAGGTTCCTGACTTTCGACAGGCACATAAAGAATGATGTGGGGTTAAACATGTTTGAAGACGCCAACCCTCCCCTAACCTGGGACAGTGGTGTAACAGTACAACATAAGAACTAACTATAAAAACTGAAAAGGGCTTAACTCATCAGATCGATACAAAGCAGAAAAACATCTAACAAAAACACAGCCCGGACGTGGCTACACAAGTTTAATCTAACTTGTACAAGTAAAAGTAATTGATCTTATTTAAACATACCTGTATAAGTTTGAATTTGACTTGTACATTGAAGTAGATCCTCTTTCTGACCATTTACTGAAGTATTATTAGAAACATATCTGGTAACTGATGTCATTAACTCACACAGGCTGTTTGCTGATGGAGTTAGGATAGACTGACCTGGTACCTTGTAGTAGTTGTAGTCTTGTAGACACTATAAGCTTACACTAACGGAGCATAATCAGCAATTTAGTGATAAGGGAACCTTTAACATGAAACATCCTGACAAAGTTTGAAGATTCAGATTTAAAATCTATTCACTATACATTTCAATAAAGGTAATTACAATGTTACTAATCTGTGTATTATTATGTCTACAGTGCCTATATGAATAAATTAGATATATTTTAACAGATGATTTCAAGCCAGCATCAGTTGATACAACTCAAGATTCAACAGTAGAAGTTGGTGAAGGTCATCAAATAACTGTATCTGTTCCCCATGTCGAGGTAATATAGTTCGATAGTGGATAACAAATCTGTGCTTTTTATGCTGTTTCTCCTTTTGTAAATGCTGTATTACTCGGTTATAATGACCTTTAAACCTTACCATGTACATAATACAATATCTTATAATAATTTGAAAATTAATTATCTGATGATTTAAATTAAACTCTGTAAATTGATAATGATTTAAAATAAAATAAGAATTGTTAAAAACTGAAATATGAAAACATTCTACTGCAGTAATTATTTCATATGAAAATAAGATGTGGTATGATTGCCAATGAAACAACTTTCCACCATGTCCACCAGAGACCAAATGACATATAAAAATAAGATGTGGTATGATTGCCATGGAGACATCTCCCCACCATGTCCACCAGAGACCAAATGACATATAAAAATAAGATGTGGTATGATTGCCATGGAGACATCTCTCCACCATGTCCACCAGAGACCAAATGACATATAAAAATAAGATGTGGTATGATTGCCATGGAGACATCTCTCCACCATGTCCACCAGAGACCAAATGACATATAAAAATAAGATGTGGTATGATTGCAATGGAGACAACTCTCAACCATGTCCACCAGAGACCAAATGACATATAAAGATAAGATGTGGTATGATTGCAATGGAGACAACTCTCAGCCATGTCCACCAGAGACCAAATGACATATAAAAATAAGATGTGGTATGATTGCCATGGAGACAACTCTCAACCATGTCCACCAGAGACCAAATGACATATAAAAATTAGATGTGGTATGATTGCAAATAAGAAGTCTCCACCAGAGACCAAATGCATGTACATGTATTTCTAACCATTAGTATTTAAAATTATTTAGAACGAATGAATATGTTAATTACATTTCAGGGTGCTGGGACTGATCATACAGTTTATAAGGGTCACAAGCGACCATGTCTGAAGGAATGTGTGTTAATTATAGATCATCAAACAGGGACTTTTACCTTAGAGAAACTTACAAATAACATACAGTTGAAAAAAACAAGGTAAACAGAATCTTACAAATAACATACAGTTGAAAAAAACAAGGTGAACATTGATGTGATCTTTAATGAATTCATCAGGCATGTCAGGGAAGTAAGAAAGTTAGTTTAGAAGCCAATGAAATAATTTGAAAGATGGAAAGCAAAACCTTAACTATATTTATAGGAAGTTAAAGATTAAATTCAAACATTTTATTGAATGATGATTAACATAAGGCATTGACCATTTTGATAACACATTTGATGATAATGAGAAAATTGTTTATCTAAAAAATCATTTTATAAGTTTTGAATGTCCCCTTTTTATCTCCTGGCACTTTATTTATCAATTGCATTAGAATAGGATTAACAGTATATAAATGTAATATTGGCTAGCATCAAACATTATCATGATTCACAACTGTTGTGGTGACACATGCACTAATTATTTTTTGTGGTACTACTGTGAATGACATTATCCCTAATGAAATTTTATTTAGACTTTAACAAATTTTAATTTCAATTTAAAAACTTTTTAATACAAAGGTGTATTGATTTATCTATGCATCTGTATTACAGAATTGAAGGTAGCAGTAAAGCAGCACTTGGTGGAAGACCTCTGACCCCAGTTGATATAAACAGACAGAAAAATTCTCCAGCCAAGCCTAAAAACCCTCCACAAGTCAGTCCACCATCACACACTAACTCTCCCTCTGTAACACCTGTCAATCTGCCTCAAGATGAAACTAGTAAAGGTAAATCCTCAATAAAATATATTTTGAGTGCATGACATATCTTAGCTTTTCAAGTCCATACATCTATGTTGCTTTCTGGTCATAAGAAAAATGACTGCGAAATCATGTCATGAACAGTTTGCTTGTAATGTGAAGAAGGGACATAACAAATGATGAATGGAAATCTGGGATAGATGTTTTGCTGACATGTTCATTTATAACCCTTTAAATAAATTCTAAATTTAAGTTTAAAATTAAAACATTTCAGTAAACACTTATATATGTCCCCTCATTGACATTTTCATTTTAGATTATTGTCTATTTAGGCTATGGTTTATTAAATTTTTGGTTTACAGATTTTTTACATGAAAAAGTCAGGTCGGTTGGTCGAAAAAAAAAAAAGGAATAAAACTGATCTTACAAGACATAAATATGTATAAAATATATATTTCAGCTTAATAATAATATTTATGCCCCCACGTTTCATGCTTTGTCAGGCAATCCCGTTTTTGATATCCAAATGGACGAACATTTTTTTTCAATTTATGAAACAAAAAATTTCCAAATTGTTTGTGTATATCTCTGACTTTTAACTTGACGTCTTTTGCATTTGGACGGGTCCATTTCATCTATGAGATTTAAAATCTTACGAAATTATGAAAAAAAAGGAAAAAAAACTATTTGTTAAAGGTTTTGTCTCGCCTTGACGGAGTCAAAAAGTGAGACATAGGTATGCTGTTTCCGGCGTCGGCTTTGGCAATGGCTTTGGCAACGGCGGCGGCAACAATGTATTAGTTTGTGATTAGGTCTAGTTTATGGTGAACCAATAGTGGTAGGTCAATGATATTTGGTATGCAGTTGTATTAGCATTGGCACATGTCATTACCATGGAGATTATTTTGCCCCGCTCCCTCAGTCAAGGTCTATTGACTTTGAAACTTTTCTTAGTTTACATGTATTAGTTTGTGATTAGGTCAATTTATGGGGAACCACTAGTGGTAGGTCAATGATATTTGGTATGCAGTTGTATAAGCATTGGCATATCTCATTTCCATGGAGATTATTTGGTTCCGCCCCCTTAGTCATGGTCTATAGACTTTGAAAATTTTGCTAAGTTAACATGTATTAGTTTGTGATTAGGTCAGTTCAAGGGGAACCATTAGTGGTAGGCCAATGTTAATTGGTGTTCAGTTGTATAAGCATTAGCAAATCTCATTTCCATGGAGAATATTTGGCCCCTCCCCTCAGTCATGGTCTATTTACTTTGAAATTTTTGCTTAGTTTACATGTATTAGTTTGTGATTAGATCAGTTTAAGATGAACTGCTAATGTTAAGTCAATGATATTTGGTATGCAAATTTATTGGCATTTGCAAGTATCGTTTCCATGGAGATTATATAGCCCCACCCCTGATCATGGTTCATTGACTTTGAAACTTTTACATAGTTTACAAGTTAATGCTTGTGTTTAGGTTTGTTTAAAGGGAACGACTTATGATAAGTCAATGGTATTTGGTATGCAGTTGTATTAGCATTGGCACATCTCATTCCATAGAGATTGTTTAGCCATGTACCTTCAGTCATGGTTCATTGACTTTGAATATTTGCATAACTTACATGTTAAAGTATTGCTATTTTAATTTCAACATTTGCATTATCAAAATTACAAAAAGGCGAGACATATCTCTGTGATAACAGTTTATTAACATATGTTTTGTTCAGCAAAACCGCAAAATTATTTGCGCAAACATTTCAAGGTCAGTTATGATCGTCTATTTTTAGAAACACAAACTATGGATTATTTTTAGATTTTTTTTTAGAACACAATTCGTAATTATTTCTGTTAATGTTAAAACATGTTAAAATAGTGCATTTAATTTCATGAAAATGCTGCTAAGGAGATATTTTTATTTATCTTTCATAGATAATGTATTTGTTAAGGTCAGCAGGAATAGAGAAGCATGCAATGTCAATTTTTTTTCCTGAAAATCAGAAAAATAGGGTCAGCAGATCCGTAAACCAGCAAATTAAAAAAAAACTTTTGTAGTACAAAGGGTAATCATATGTACACAAGGTAATCATTGATGAATTGCTATTTTGAAAGTTATTTCATCTATACTCTAGTACTCTTGTTAAAGCTGTTTCCTCTAGTTTCAGTTTTTAGTTATAATGTTATTTATGTTGAATTATTATTTATCTCAAAATAAACACATTTCTTGGTAAATGAAGTCATAGTTATATTTAAGTAATAATGAGAAATAATTTTTTTTAAGTGAATAAAACTATCAAGATCCCTTTTCTATAAATAATATAATGGAAATATTTCAGATGCGTGTCTTTTTGGTGAAATAAGTGATGATAGCAGTAGTTATGCTTCCAGTAGTGATAGTGATTCTGAAACAGAAGATAAACAAAGTAAGTAAACCACATAAAACCTGTTCAGTTTGAAGACTTAGAACTCTGAACATTTTTCCAGTTAGAAATTTATAATTCTTGAGTTAGATTATAAGATATCAAGGCTCATGCTAGCTGGTAACCAGGATGACTGAAGTTGTCATTTCAACTGAAGTTTGCTTTCTCAGCATTCTTAAACCAAAGTAAAGTAGCCCTGGAAGTTTTATTAATTTCTCATGCTCTTAAGTAAAAAAATAATGCATACAAAATGTTTTGTTAAATAATAGCAAGCCTTTGCAGGATTAAGTCTGCCTTTGGTTTTTGTCTAACCTGCGACTTTTGTCGCAAAAGCGAGACATAGCGATCCTACATTCCGTCGGCGGCAGCCACAAATATTCACTCTGTGGTTAAAGTTTTTCAAATTTTAATAACTTTCTTAAACTATCCTGGATTTCTACCAAACTTGGACAGAAGCTTGTTTATGATCATAAGATAGTATCCAGAAGTAAATTTTGTAAAAAAAAAAATCCTGTTTATCCATATTTTACTCATAAATGGACTTAGTTTTTCTGCCAGTTAACATAACATTCACTCTGTGGTTAAAGTTTTTTAAATTTTAATAACTTTCTTAAACTATCCTGGATTTGTACCATACTTGAACAGAAGCTTGTTTATGATCATAAGATAGTATTCAAAAGTAAATTTTGTTTTTGTTAAAAAAATCCTGTTTATTCGTATTTTACTTATGAATGGACTTAGTTTTTCTGCCAGTTAACATTACATTCACTCTGTGGTTAAAGTTTTCAAAATTTTAATAACTTTCTTAAACTATCCTGGATTTGTACCAAACTTGGACAGAAGCTTGTTTATGATCAAAAGCTAGTATCTAGAAGGAAATTTTGTAAACAAAAATTTCCTGTTTTTCCATATATTACTAATAAATGGACTTAGTTTTTCTTCCAGTTAACATTACATACAGTCTGCAGTTAATTTTTTTAAAACATTTATTAGATTCATAAACCATCCTGGATTCTTACCAAACTTGAACAGAAGCTTCTTACATTCAAAAGATAGTATCTAGAGGAAAATTTTTAATAATTATTTCCCCATTTTTGTTGAGCCTGCGACTAACAGCAAAAGTAAGCGAGACACTAGGTTCCGTGGAACCCTTACAAATTTTATTTTCTTTTGAGTTCAGTTTAATGCATTTTTTTATTTCCCCTGAAGAGTTAACTAATTAATTCTGGTTGAAACAAACCTGTCTATCAATAAAGTATAACATTAAGTATTTCCCTATCTTCATATTTAATCAAATTCAAGGGATATAGCAGGGTTTCCTCTGGGTCAATTTCTTTTTGCGCCACCTCTTTCGCCAAAACAATATTTTTTTTTCCACTCTTAATTTTTTTCGCCAACTCACATAAACATGTTTTTATTTAGATCTTGTTTTCTTTTATGCTAACACAACAAATCAATTTTCAGCATTGTTGTCTCATTTATTATAATTCTACATATCTCTATTTTGTATCCTACATTGTAATAAATGAACATTCGATTAGAACATAATTTCTTGAACTTTTTTAAGGTACTGTAAAATTTGACTTCTTGGAACATGGGGTCCATCTTCAATCATGTTATTGGATACTTCTGGTCTAGTAAAAGGACAAAGAATAAAATCAAGAGATTTTTCTTACTTCTGAACCCTTTTTCAAACCATCTAAAGGTTTATGACCCCTTTTGTAGGCCTTGTATTACGAAATTTTCAAAGTGCTACAATATCAAAACAGTAAAAATACAGAATAAAAGTGATGTGTCATTTTGTACATATACCAAAGGGAAATGTTGTTCAAAGCAATGTTGTTAATGTTTCATTGCATTTAATTGAAAATGGGGATTTGGTGGCAAATAAAGCCAATATTTTTGCAAAAAAAACAGACTTTATTACAGAGGTTTGCATTATAAAATTTTAAACCTAAATTACTTTTTAACCAATATCTTTATTTATATACTTGTTTTAAGGAAATCATTGCTAGCAGTGGGTGCAATAATCCTCTATCCATTTTATATAAAATCAGCAGCCTTGCTATCAAATACAATCAGCTGATTATTGATTTTCTGACAAAATTGACAATGATGAGTTTTAGGTGAAATCCGAGTATTGTCTAATCATGGAAAAAGTCAGAGAAACCTGAAACAAAATATACAAGATGGACAAAGTCAAACATTTATATTTCTTTTGCCATTCATGATTTTTAATCACCGTAATTATATTTTCTTCGCTAAATTCGAAAATGGCAACCTCCAGTGTAAAACCTGGATATAGAAATATATTGTTAATTTAACTTCATCTCTTTTAAGGATGTATTCTTCTGAGGTTTCAGTCTCGTTAAAATCTCGTTCTGAAATTATTTCCAAAACATATGATACAAGTGGAAAATATCAATGAATATAAAAAATATTATAATCAAACTAAACTCTGTGAAAAAAAATGTGTACTTACGATAAGTAGTTTTTATACGACCGCAAAAAAATTTTGCGGTCGTATATTGGTATGATGTTGGCGTCGTTGTTGTCTGGAGTCGTCGTCGGCGTCGTCGTCCGAAGACACATTGGTTTTCGCACTCTAACTTTAGTTTAAGTGAATGGATCTCTATGAAATTTTACCATAAGGTTCAATACCACAAAAGGAAGGTGGGGATTGATTTTGGGGGTTATGGTACCAACAGTTAAGGAATTAGGGGCCAAAAAGGGGCCAAAAATAAGCATTTTTGTAACTTCCAGACATAACTTGTTTGTTAGTGTATGGATCTCTCTGACATTGTACCACAAGGTTCCATATCACAAAGGGAAAGCTGGGATTAATTTTGGGGGTAATTGCTTCCAAATTTTAGGAATTAGGGGCCAAAAAGGGGCAAAAAACAAGCATTTTTCTAGTTTCAGGACAATAACTTGTGTGTAAGTGTATTGATCTTTATGAAATTGTACTACAAGGTCCCATATCACAAAGGGAAAGCTGGGTTTGAGTTTGGGGGTAATTGCCCTAAACGTTTAGGAATTTAGGGCCAAAAAGGGGCAAAAAAACAAGCATTTTTCTAGTTTCCAGACAATAACTTGTGTTCAAGTGTATGGATCTCTCTGAAATTGTACTGCAAGGTACCATACCACAAAGGGAAGGCTGGGATTGAGTTTGGGGGTGATGAATCATAAGGGGGTTCAAAAAATTTGGGGGGGGGGATTTTTTTTCCCTTTTTTTTCTTTAAAATTTTCCATTTTAAATTGGTTATTTCTGATTTATATATAAAAACAAATAATAATGATATGGTTTGAATAGGTAAATTAAAAAAATTTTAAGTTCTTAGACCACATTCATTCTGTGTCAGAAACTTATGCTGTGTCAAATATTTAATTACAATCCAAATTCAGTGCTGTATCAAGCTTGAATGTTGTGTCCATACTTGCCTTAACTGTTCAGGGTTCGACCTCTGCAGTCGTATCAAGCTGCGCCCCAGCGGAGCATTTTATTGAGTAATAAAATTTTCAAATTTTGTAACCAATCTGGTAAGTGTCATCAGCCAAAATGTTTAGAAAATAGGTGAGGGTACAAAGAAATGATTTTACCAAAAATATGTACATCTCATATCAATTTTTTCTTTTCAAAATTCTTAGATATGTATTTTGTCAATCATTTATAACAAAGAAGTTGACATTATATGCTTTTTGTTCTAAAAATAATGAGGAAAATCCCAAATTTACAAAATTGACAGCATGGTCAATTTGACACGAAAAAGCAACAAAATTTTATAAAACTTTTTAATATTAACACTAACCTATAGTTTTTTTTAGTTAAATTTATCTTTAGTGAAAGTATGAAAAAAAATTAATTGTGAAATTGTGATTTTTTTCATGATAATAGCTCAGAAATGGGGTAAAACTTGATGAAAAATGGGAAAATCATAAAAAATGGGTACTTTCAAATGACTGTAGCAAAAAAAGAAGTGCACCACCATATGATTTATCTTCATCAGTTACTTTCTTACAGTTATATAAACCCCAAAATCAGGTTAAGAAAAAAAGTTTAATTCTAGAATTTTTTGGCTCCTCAGAGGTGTACATCCTTAAACAATAATAACTTTGCTAAAAGGGATGGCAAGTGGTTGTGCCAAATGCATAAATATGCAGGCATGACCTCTCATAATGGGAACTTTAAATCTGATACCTCAAATGTTGAAAGAGTGCAGTGAAGGCACAAATGTAAATCTTGAAAGTTCACAAGAAAAATATATTTCATTTTTGAGAACAATAATTTTCCAGGTAATTGTGGCTCTTGTAAAGGTTTCATGCTGCCATTAAGTGACAGTATCTTATATATATTGGACCCTGCATTTCTGCATAAAAAGTTCAGAAAAATAATCTAATGTAATATGTTTAATCGGATCGCAAAGTATTCTAAGTTAACTTAAGGATAAAAATTTTCCAATCAGTGATAGCATTGACATTCCCTGGATGAATTTATATATTGTGTATCCTTAGTATCGATGAAAATAATAGAGGCTATTTTAGTCTAAAAAGTTTATTTTCTTCTTCAGAAAACCCTAGTCAAGAAAAAGTTGCTCAAACAGGTGGTCTGTTTAATATGTTGCCTTCAGCCTCATCAGCAGTCAAGCCTAGACCTCCGCAGTTTGTCTCATCTCTGAGTAAGTATTGTGTAACGTATACAGGAAAATTAAGCTTTTGATACTTGATGTACACAAGGTCAATCATATGTAGACACATTTAAGTTCAACTTTATTCAAAATTACCAATCGAAAAAGACGTCTTTTCAGAAAATGTTGTTATTTTGAATTTCAGCAGCAGTCATCCTTCAAGGAAATTTTAAGTACATGTAGTTAAGACAATTATAAAAACAACATATTACATACAAATTAATAGTAGAGGTATTATCTACTTTAACCAATTGTTCTTTATTAAAGTGAACCAATACTTTTTTCCAGTAAGTGGAATAACTAGTGTCAAATAATAGTTTGAGAATCAATTCCGGCCTTTATCTCCTGAGATGACTATGATAGTTAGTATTTTGTCCATTCAGAAGATTTTATTACTTTCAATTGAAATTCTTTTCTGAATGATTACATGAAGGTTAGAATGTCTTAAATTAAACTGTTGATATATCAGGTGCTTTGATAGATAGATAATTCATTATGATGTCATGTTATTGGAAACAATGTTGACCACACCCCTGCTGTTGTCCTATATGATTACAGGTTTTCAGTACTGCCAAGTTTTCATGAATTAAATGCCTGAGATTTGGCCAAAATTGTAAAGATCAAAGAGAAAAAACAATAGATCAAAGGAAAATGCCGCCAAATAATCATGAAAATGTGTGTCTCACGCTAATTGTGTGAAACTTGGCAGCCCTGAGTTTTATTCTTGCATTTGCTTGTGAGATACAATATTACTCCACACTTTAATAATAGTTAAATTTTAGATTTTTACATGCCTGTTAAAGTTTGTATTTTGAAAAATCTACAAGAGTGGATAAGTATCCTAACTATCTTGAAACAGAAGGAGAGACTATTTTTATTGGCCATTAACACTACTATATTTGATATTATAGGTGAAGATCTGAGACTGAGTGAATCAAGTAGTAGTGACAGTGATGATGATTAATTGGTCCAGAGGTTGTTTGTGCTAAATACTGACCTCTACTACAGGGTAGTACATTGAACATTTCATCTGAGAGGGAATATGTGTAAATGGTTCAATAAATGACTACAGTTAAGAGATTAAATGGTGCTTAATTATGAAAGCCATGTTTTAATGGTTATTTTACACCAGTGTGTGATAGAGAAGTGTAAACATGAGTTATCAGATAGTTTCTTGTACACTGATATGTGACCCCGAAATGTAAACATGTTTTACACCAATGTGTGATAGAGAAATATCAGAGAGTTTTGAATGTTAATAATTGACCTTTCAAAGTCTTTATTGTAATGCTTGACTACTTTGATGAAGTGATATTATCTGTGGTTTGAATTAGAAATTGTCTTTGGTTTGGGTGGATGGGTTAATAATGAGACAAACTTAATTAAATAATGAAAGATAGGGAAAATGATAGAAATGATATTTTTCATTATTTATATGCGACACATATGTTATTTGACTTTACTGTTACCACTTAAGACTAACATTGAATATTATTTTATGATGTTTCAACTATAGGATTTTGATGATCTAATACAGGGGATTTTTCAAATGCCTTAAATCTGTTTCTCAAGAATAATATTTGTGGTATGTCTGTTGAGGCTTGCTTGAGTTGGAGATGATATGTGGGAATTATTATTTTTCACTTTTAATGGTATTTGATTGATTTTCTCTCAAGGATACGAATGAACTCATTTAAACAACATCCATTTACATTCCTAAGTTACTTCTCTGGTTGCTAATTCATAACCTAAAGAATCAACCTCTAATGTTGCATGGCTTTTCTGAAATACAGTTCTTAATATAGATTTCAAGCCAAACACCTTTATGATAATTGTGTAATTGAAGCTTTGAGGTAATTCATGGAATTCTTTGGATTTTGGACAGGGAAATTAATGCTGGTTTTTCTGTTTTTTGCAATGTACCAAATTTCATGGGCCAAAGGCCATGCAAGCATCAAAAGAAAATTCTGAATTTACTTTAATTAATATTTTTTTATTTTTTTCCATTTAAATGTGGATGGCTTGTTCACAACAGCTTGTTTAATTTAATTTGATTATGACAATAAATTTCTGTTTCTCTTGTTTGATTCTTTAATTGTGGCACAAACGAAAGCAATAATGTTAAATTGCCTATTACATTATGTATTTTTTGAGGATCTCACTCTATAGCACCATATACATGATCAAATGCGAAAATATTAGATGGCATCACACAGAACCTATTATTTTGTGTATTCCTCGTGTAATAAAACCAATTTGATTCTAAATTCAAAAATGTTCTTAATGCTTTGTAAGCTTTGATTGATAACATTGAAAACAACTAAATTTTGTAAAAAAAAGTCCTCGTACCTCAGTAGTTAAAGGAAACATATCATAATAAGCCATATATCGATTTGTCTTTTCAATAATTCACTTGCTTTTTATGAATTCTGTTTGTGATTTATATGTAATTAGTTTTTACTGTTGTTTTATATACAGGTTGGATAAAAGTAGGAGAGGACATTTTAAGTGTAAGATGAGATCATAACCACCTGTTTTTGTTTAGTCTTAATCTTGCTAATTTTTCTTGACAAAACAATAGAGTTAAAAGGAATGAATATGTTTTAATACATATACAGGGAAAATATTGTTGGTTTTCAGAGACATACCAGTATGAATTTAAAAATATCACCTTGTTGTTGCTAAAAAATTTAATCTCATAAATTTGTTTGGAATGCAAATTATTTCAAATACCAGGAATTGTCAACCTAACAAAAATCCATACTACCTATACATGTAGTAGGATATTTTATGTTCTGAGAACAATATTTATACCCCACGCAACGAGTTTTTGACCCGTTTGTCCGTCCGTCCGTCTGTCCGTCCCGTCCGTCTGTCTGTCCGTCCTTCCCGTCTGTCTGTCCGTCCGTCCGTCTGTCCGTCCGTCAGTCCGTCAGTCCTGTTTCTTGTCATCGCAACTCCTCTCAAACCACACAACAGAATTTCACGAAACCTTTTCAGATAATAAGGACATACTACGTAGATGTGCATATCGACAGGAAATTACGATTCAATTTTTTTTCCAGGAGTTACTCCCCTTTGAACTTATTTACTTTAATTTACTACTGCAACAGTTTGTCATCGCAACTCCTCTCAAACCACACAACAGAATTTCATGAAACCTTTTCAGATAATAAGGACATACTACGTAGATGTGCATATTGACAGGAAATTATGATTCAATTTTTTTTCCAGGAGTTACTCCCCTTTGAACTTATTTACTTTAATGTACTACTGCAACAGTTTGCCATCGCAACTCCTCTCAAACCACACAACAAAATTTCATGAAACCTTTTCAGATAATAAGGATATACTACGTAGATGTGCATATCGACAGAAAATTACGATTCAATTTTTTTTCCAGGAGTTACGCCCCTTTGAACTTATTTGCCCAATATACTACTGCAACCTTTTGTCATCGCAACTCCTCTCAAACCACACAACAGAATTTCATGAAACTGTGTAGATAATAAGGACATACTATGTATATGTGCATATTGACAGGAAATTATGATTCAATTTTTTTTTCTTACACTTATTTTATTTCTCCAATGATAATGTGGGGACGTGGGGTATGTGAGCGCGCGCTCACTAAGGTTCTTTCATTTAGTTAGAAACTAGATAAGAAACAAATCCTTCTGTAGTTCTAATAAAATATTGCAGAGAATGAACTAAATTCATATTGTTCAATGAATATAATATATTTCATAGGATAGCTTTTGAAACATTTTTTTAATATAGAAAACAAGGCCTATTGAGAATAAGAGTTGAAGAAATTTTGATGAAAGTTATTATATGCCAACATGTAATTGCATAGAGTTGTGTTGTCCAGTCTGGCCATATCCAATTTCACATATTGAATAAAATATGTCCAGTTTTATTCAAATTTTAGTATTAATTACAATCAGTTTTGACAATTTTTTCTTCTGTTTTTAGAATTATTGCTCTATGTTTAATACAGATGTTGCTTAAACCAAATCTCATAAAAGTTTTAGACAGTGTTTGGATTGATGAAGTTATGTTGTCCATCAATTAAAAAAATGTATTTCTTTAAGAAATTTGTTTGCAGACACAATATGGGTATTTATTTACATTTTTGGGGAACTCAAGTTAATTTTGACTGAATTAATGTGTATTGTATAAGACCGGGTTGCTTCTTTTAAATTTTGACAATATTTAATTTTGTATTTCCAGAGCTTATGAATTATAAGACACTTTTTCAGATTACATACAATAGGAATATTGGAAATTACGTTAGGACTGATGGAATAAAGTTTATGAAGTAACAGTGGAAAATTCAGGGGGGGGTTCCGGAGGTTGGAACCTCCCCTTTTTTTTGGACGATCAATGCATTTGAATGGGGACATATAGTTGGAACCCCTCCTTTATCCTGGGTTAGGAACCCCCCTCTCATAAATGGCTGGATCCGCCCCTGAGTAAGGCTAGGGATTGGTATAGCATGTGCTCGTGCTGTGTATTTTTCCTGGAAAAATTCTAGTACGCTTTTATTATATTTAAAATTTTAATAAATGAGATTGATTACAAACATTCCTCATTAAGATGTGAGTTTGTGAGTTCAATACAAATAAAAGGCTTGGTGAGTAATTGTTCAAAAAATATAATTTTTTGGCTTCAGAAATGTTAAAACATTTTTTAGTGTTGTTATATGTTATAAGGAATGTGAAAAATATCTTTGTATATTATTACATAATAAATTATTGCAAATATGATGTTATTGTTTGTATATGTTTCAATGTGGATGTATTGAATGTGATTTCATCCAAATCTTTTTATCCATTTTAACCTCTGAAGGTAAATATGAGCCATTAAGTGTTGACAAATTCTAAGCTTATTCTTCTTGTGGTAAGAATCATTTCTATGTTACTGTAATCAATAGGTCACCTATATTTGATGTATGGAATGCTTGTAAGGTGTTGCCTGTCTTGTATGAGGTTGACCTCATTTTTATAGTTCATTGGTCAATGTTAAGTTTTTTTGTTGTTAGGTCTGTTTCTTAGATTCTATAAGCAATAGGTAAACTACATTTTGTGTAAAGAATGATTATAAAGTGTACATGTCTGTTTAGTAGGTTTCATTTGACCTTGACCTCATTCATTGGTCAATGTAAAGTCTTCATGATTAGATCCGATTCTCAGTTACTATACGCAATAGGTTGACTCTATTTGGTTTATATAGACTCCAATCTTAATTGGCTAAGATTGTCAGTTTTCCTGCACGAAGATTGGAAGTTCTCTTCGGGCACTCCAGCTTTCTCCACCAATACAAACCGAACGCCACAAAATAGCACAATAGTGCTGAAAGTGGCATTAAACACCAATCAATCAATCAATCTATTTGGTTAATAGAATTATTGTAAGATGTACATCTCAGTCTGGTTGATAATGTTAAGTTTATGTGATATCTAGTAAAACCTTTCATTTTATAGACTTTCAACATGAATTCAATCATGATTAGTAAAGCAGCAGGGGCCATTTCAGCGTGTGCACTCTTGTTACTGAAATTAATTTGTTTCTTTTTTATTAGAAATTTTTATGAACATTGGGTAGATGTTGTCCATTAAATGTAAAGGAGAAGGTATAATGAAATCAATTAGAAAAAATAACATCCTTCAGACATAAACCTGTCAGTTTTAGTAATAAAACATTTAAATTTTGTCCTTCATATTTGCTTGAGTCCTTCAAACCTCTTTCATTTAAGTGAAAAACCAAAAACAAAAATTTGAGATCTCCAAACATAAGAGACAAAAAACACCCTTTCCCATTAAATTGTTTTGCTTTCATATCTCTTATAAGAAGGTGTTGATATAAGTCATATATATAGAAGTCAAAGATGATAGTAGCAGTATAACTAACAGTTCCTTGGGAAGATAGATGTGAAGAGGTATACCAGCGGAAGAAGGAGAAGATGACAACATGTATAAAGAGAGGTTGGAAAGCATGGCTGTTCCCAGTAGAAGTAGGCTGCAGAGGATTTCCTGCACAATCAGTATGGAGAATGCTACAGGCAATGGGAATAGTTGGAAAGGCATGCAAGACAGCAGTAAGACAGCTAGGGGAAGCAACAGAACATTCATCTTGCTGGTTATTGCATTACCGAGATAATCTGAGCTTGAAGCCGAGTGCTGATGAGTAGAGGTTTGCCTTCCTCTACTGACCCGCCAACCGGAGGATGTAATGGTATAGGGTCGAAACATTTGGTGAAGGTTGGAACCATCTGAAGACATCAAAGCACCGGCAGAGAGCGACAGAGATTCAGAGATGAGCAGTAAAATGAATATGACAGCAGAAAAGCAGAATACTAGTACCACCATCTGTAAATAATAATATTTTTTTCTGGGAAACCAGTGAACGTCAGGAAAGGCTGAATGAAAACTGAGGAAGACCAGTGACGCTGGAGAGACAGCTGACAGCCGGGAACAGACTGGTATGGGTACTCGGGGTTAGCTACCCTAAGTATGGTTCCGTGAGGGAACACCAAGGATAACTTCTACACAGAATGAAGAAGTATACCCCCAGAGTCTCCCGAGAGGGGGGAGGATGAGAGGCTCAACCAAACAGATCAAACGACAACGACTTGGAAACAAAAAAGGACAACTACACAGATGGTGCAAACAATTTTGACAGGAGAGAAAGCAGAAGCTAAATGCCATTGAGGAAAGATCTTTAAGAATCAAAGAGGCTTAAAGATTCACCAGTCAAGGTCTGGATGCAGTCAAGGAATTGTTTCTGAGCAGTGCACATATATATCTGGTGAGACGCAGGAGAATCCTAGCCAGGACACTAACCGTAGTGCCAGGAATCTCTCAGCAACAGTATCATCCCACGACAGCAGCCAAAGCTTGAATAGTGAGGAGCACATTACACAGCAAAGGCAAGAGACATCACATTAGAAAGAAAGGATAGCATGGCCAAAGATGAACAGTGAAGTCCACTGGAGAGATCTGAACGATGATTTGGGAGTAATTCTGAAAACATTATTTCAAGGATGTATTGAGACTAGAATAGAAACACTGACTATGCTAGTATATGACATCGGGAAAGAGAGATTTGGTGTTGAGGAGAGGAAAGAAATGAGTAACACCAACCAAGCAGAGAACAGAAAATTAAACAGCTAAGGAAGGAGCTCAAAGACCTAAACAGGCGGTACAAGAGAAGTAATGAGATATAGAAGTTAGGAATAGCCTGTCTTATAGACAGTATTAGAGATGAGCCGAGACGAACTAGAAGGACAGAACAACACAAGAATATTAATAAGAAGAAAGCAAAAAATAGAGCAAACTATATCAAGAATCCATACAACTACACAAAAACACTGTTGGATGGAGAAAGAACAGGACATCTGCAATTAGTAAGGAAGAAGTAGAACAGTATCTGTATGAAACACACTCAGACGAAGAAAGAGAGGTACCTTTGGGATATTGCCCAAGAGTTGAAGAAGAAGAACAACCAACAATAGACTTTGAAACAAAGGAACCAACATGGAAAGAAGTTAGTGGGGTGGTAAAAAAGGCAAGAACAGGATCAGCACCTGAGTATAGTGGTGTACCATACAAAATTCAAGAAATGCTCAAAGATACTGAGGAAACTTTGGCTGCTATTCCGAACACTATGGTAAAAAACAGTTTAGGACAATTTCACTGTTGAGCGTAGAGGGAAAAATCTACTTCTCTGTATTGGCAAAACAGGATGACAAAATATATGGTAGAGAATGGGTACATCGATACAGTCTATGCAGAAAGGAGGCATTGTAGGTTATTCAGGTTATGTAGAACATACTAGTGTTCTAAGCCAACTTATACATGGATATACATATAGATTAAAGGAAAAGAATGTCAAAAACTATAGGGCACTGTATTGCCTTCAAAAATGAGCAAATAGTTTGATTTAATGTTTAGATTGATGTGAGCTATTGTCTTCACTTTGCTTAATAACTTTCTTAAACTATCCTGGATTTCTACCAAACTTGGACAGAAGCTTGTTTATGATCATAAGATAGTATCCAGAAGTAAATTTTGTTAAAAAAATCCTGTTTATCCGTTTTTGTCGAGCCTTCGACTTTAGTCGAAAAAGCGAGACATAGCGATCCTACATTCCGTCGGCGTCGTCGTCGTCGTCGTCGTTGTCGTCGGCGGCGTCCAAAAATATTCACTCTGTGGTTAAAGTTTTTGAAATTTTAATAACTTTCTTAAACTATCCTGGATTTCTACCAAACTAGGACAGAAGCTTGTTTATGATCATAAGATGGTATCCAGCAGTAAATTTTGTAAAAATAAAATTCCATTTTTTCTGTATTTTACTTATAAATGGACTTAGTTTTTCTGCCGGGAAATATTACATTCACTCTGTGGTTAAAGTTTTTAAAATTTTAATAACTTTCTTAAACTATCCTGGGTTTGTACCAAACTTGGACAGAAGCTTGTTTATGATCATAATATAGTATCTAGAAGTAAATTTTGTAAAAAAATAAATCCATTTTTTCCTTATTTTACTTTTAAATGGACTTAGATTTTCTGCTGGGAAACAACACATTCACTCTGTGGTTAAAGTTTTTAAAATTTTAATAACTTTCTTATACTATTTTGGATTTGTACCAAACTTGGACAGAAGCTTGTTTATGATCAAAAGCTAGTATCTAGAAGGAAATTTGGTAAAAAAATAAATCCATTTTTTCCGTATTTTACTTTTAAATGGACTTAGTTTTTCTGCCAGGAAACAACATATTCATTCTGTGGTTAAAGTTTTTAAAATTTTAATAACTTTCTTATACTATTTTGGATTTGTACCAAACTTGGACAGAAGCTTATTTATGATCAAATGCTAGTATCTAGAAGGAAATTTTGTTTTTTTCCAGTTAACATTACATTCAGTCTACAGTTAAAGTTTTTAAACATTTATTAGATTCATAAACTATCCTGGATTTTTACCAAACTTGGACAGAAGCTTCTTACAATCAAAAGATAGTATCAAGAGGAATATTTTTATTGATTTACTTCCTCATTTTTGTTGAGCCTGCGATTAACAGAAAAAGTAGGCGAGACACTGGGTTCCGCGGAACCCTTACGATTTTTTTACTTATAAATGGACTTTGCCAGTTAACATTACCTTCACTCTGTGGTTAAAGTTTAAAAATTTTTAATAACTTTCTTAAACTATCCTAGATTGATTTGTACCAAACTTGGACAGAAGCTTGTTTATGATCAAAAGCTAGTATCTAGAAGGAAATTTTGTAAAATTTATTTCCTGTTTTTCCGTATATTACTTATAAATGGACTTAGTTTTTCTTCCAGTTAACATTACATACAGTCTGCAGTTAAAGTTTTTAAAACATGTATTAGATTCATATACCATCCTGGATTTTTACCAAACTTGGACAGAAGCTTCTTACAATCAAAAGATAGTATCTAGACGAAAATTTTTAATAATTTTTTCCCCATTTTTGTTGAGCCTGCGACTAACAGCAAAAGTAGGTGAGACACTATGTTCCGCGGAACCCTTACGAATTTTTCATTAATTATCCCACTTGGCCCATTTCAGCAACCCATATAAAATGTAAAGAAAATAGGTAAAATTACAGCAAATTTTTGTGTCAAAATAAGGTTATTTAATTCCTAATTCTCATGAGCGCTCTCTCCCCCAACATCAAATTCTGACTCTGCACCTGGCTACAAATAAAGCACCTTGAAAATAGTGTTCAAAATCTTGAATATCAA